AGAGAGCCCCACATTAGGGGGTGCATAGGGGGTGTCAGGGGGTGCAGGACCCCAGGGCGAGGGCGGCGTTCATGGGGGTCCCCAGCCCCCAGGGACGAGGGGGGTGCGCGGGGGGGTCCCCATGCCCATCCCCCGGGGGGGAGTTCCAATGCCCATCCCCCGGGGGGGGGGCTCTCCGCGATGCCCACTCCGTGCAGGGTCCCCACGCCGAGCCCCCGAGGGGAGTCCCAGAGCCGATCCCCCGAGTGTGTGTGTGTGTGGGGGGAGGGGGTTCCCGCCGGCCCGGCCGTACCCGTAGGTGGTGAGGACGCTCTTGTTGACCACGACGATGAGGAAGGAGCTGAGGCCGTAGAAGGCGGCGGCCATGAGGCGCAGGCAGAGCGGCGGGGCCGGCGCCGCCATGCCCCGCTCCGCATCGCCGGGCGCGGGGGCTCCGGCGGGGGCTCCCCCCTCGGCCGCCCCCTCGGGCCCCCCCCCGGCACCGGCCGCGGGGCGTCTGCGCGACACGGCCGACATGGCTGGGGCGGGACCGGGCACCGACAGGGCGGGCGGGCGGGCGGGGAGGGCCGCGCAGGCGCCGGGAACGGGGGAACTGGGGCTATGGAGTGGGGGCTGGTATGGGGGCATCGACTGGGGGCATCGGGCAGGGGGCTGGCGTGGGGAAGGTCCAGTGTGGGGGTGCGGTATGGAAGGGGATCCGGCGCGGGAGGGGGCATTGCACAGGGGTCTGGTATGGGGGAGCAGTGACGGAGCGGGTGGTCGCACAGGGGCTGGTATGGGTGGGGATGGTATCAAGGGGTCCGTCACCGAACGGCATCGCACGGGGGTCTGGGATGAGGAGGGCTGGGGCGGCGGGGGCATTGACGGGGGCATAGAATGAGGGGCCTGGTAGGGGGGGCACTGCAAGAGGGGCAGGGGTCTGGCGCGGGGGCGCTTCTGGTATCGAGGGGGCGTGGTATTGCATAGGGGTGTTTTATGGGGAGACATAGCACAGGGGTCTGGTATGGGGGGCATTGTGGGAGGAGCATTTCCAGGGAGGGCAATGGGCTGGCGGCATTGCAGGGACAAGGGGACACCAAAACCACATGTCCCCTCTCTGGGCAGGGGGATGGCAGTCCCTCCCTCCCTCTCCACAGCAGAACTGGGGGTCAGGGGGGTCAGACCCACTCTGGCACTGCTGTCCCCGGCACAGCAGCCATGGGGGCCCAGCGCCCTGCCGGGTGTTGCCCTCAGGTGACCCTACACGCAGGATTTTGGCACCAGCCCTTCCCTTGCAGAGATTAAATCTTCCCCTCCAGGCCATGCTCTACCAAGTGGAAAAATCCCTAAACAAGCCAGCTTGAAGCACAAAAACACCTCCACCCTACGGGGTTACAGTGGAGAGAACAGATTTTGCTGGAAACAGGACTGACACACGCACCTCAATCCGTCACTGCTGGGGAATCTGCTTCTCATCATCCCCATCGAAGCCAAGGAGCCAGATCCCACCCAGCACCAGCTCATGGTCCCCATGGGGCAGCTCGGGGGGGAGTCTGTGTCCTGCAGCCCCCTGGAGGGATAGGATAGGGATGGAGGGACAACGCTGCAGCCATGGAGATGCTGCAGTGGGCAGGTGTGGGGGAGATGGAGGGTGGGCATGGGGGCTTGATGCGGGGGATGTGGGACGAGCCCCATTTCTGCAGCCACAGCACTTCCATGGGATCATTTAGGTTGGAAAAACCTTCAAATGCCATCGGGTCCAACTGCTCCCCCAGCACTACCAAGGCCACCACCAGTAACCCATATCCCCAGTTCCATACCCAGACATCTGTTAAATCCCTCCACGGTAATTTTTGGGGTCTTTCCCAATGTGAGGAGGGAAGGTAGCAGTGGAACATTCATTGCCTGTGGCCATGGCGGTGTTTACAGAGGAAACAGCCCCTTTTAGAGAGCTTTATTGCCAATTATCTCCCTGCCATGACCTGCCTGGGCACAGCCAAACCCTCCAGACTCCAGTGGAAAATGTGGTGTCGTGGCCCCACAGGCACGAGCTGTCACTTTTCCCAGCACACTCAGCTCACCCTTCCCTTGCAGTGAAAAGAAAACTCTTTGCCCAAACTTTCTTCGCTGATTCATGTCCCTGTTGCTGCCCTACTCGTGGGGAAGGAGCAGGAGCAGGAGCTATTTTCTGGCATGGCTCACAGGAAGGGCAAACTGACTTTAAAGTCCAGGAGCAACTTTTCCATATCTCGAGTGTCCTTTTACCCTGGCCAAAAATCACAGTCAAACCCTCTTTCTCATTGGCATCACCTTCCTTGTTCCTGCACTGAGCCCTATCTGTCCTTATCAACCTGCTGTGCGGGCTTGGACTTGGGAATATTTATTCCTTCAGCAGCAGAGAGGAACCTAATCCTGCATGGACGCCGGTGCCAGCGGGATTGACGCAAACAGCACTGATTCCCAGGGCTGCCCTCCCTCTGGCATAGCCATGTCCCCCAGGGAGCCCCACTGGGGATGCAGGGAAGCCCCCGTGAGTGCAGTGTACACAGCACAGTTGCCACTCTGGTGGGTTTAAGGTCAAATATTTGGATGTCGCCCCTACAACGAAGCCAGCACGGCGAGAAGGGGACGAGCCTGCGCTCCCAGGATGGCCATGTCTGTGTCACCCACATCCTTGGTGTCCCCCGTATCCCCCCTGCCAAGCACAGCTCTGGGTATGACACAAGTGCTCCACTTTTGGCAGCAGAGCCGGGTCTGTCCCGACCTTTCCTTCCTGCTGACCTCAGCCTGCAGGAATCCGAGCGTGCCCACCAAAAATAACAAATGTAAAATTAATCCAGTTTAATCTTAATCTCATTTGACAACCAGCTCAGCCGGGGGTGCTCCCCAGTGTCCAGCTGACCAGGACTCCGGGGTGGGGGGAAAGGAAAAAGGGCTCCGGAGCCCGGCACCCCACAGGGTACGGGGGCAGAGGGAAGTATGGGGGGCACGGGGGTGGTGGCAGGACCCAGCAGCTCCCGGTGACAGTGGCAGTGGGGGTGGCACGGGGGCCAGGCGGGGCTGGTCCCGGCACAGTGAGGAAGTCACGGTGAGATCCCTATCGCCTGCGCGGGGGCGGCGGGAAAGGCACGGTACGACGGGGGCGGGAGCGGGGCCGCCTGAATTCAGGGCTGACAGTGCCCCCAAAACCTGGGTGCTGCTGTGGAGGGGGAAGAGGTAACTAGCCCCAACCCTGACTAGTGTGCCACACTGGGGAGTACCTGGATCCCAAGGAAAACAGGCACAGGTGCTGTAGGCACCGTCCTGGGTGTGCTGGGAGAAGCCTGCAGGGCTAGGCTATGCCGTGCCAGCCCCTGGAGGGACTCTCTGTATGGCATTTCCACTTCTGGACACGGAATCACAGAATCCTGGAATGCTTTGGGTTGGAAGAAACCTTAAAGATCACACAGTCCCACCCTCTGCCATGGGCAGGGACACCTTCCACTATCCCAAGGTTGCTCCAAGCCCCATCCAACCTTGAACACTTCAAGGGATGGGGCAGCCACAGCTTCTCAGAGCAACTGTGCCAGGGCCTCATCACCCTCATAGCCAAGAATTTGTCCCTAAATCCAATCTAACCCTCCCCTCAGTCTAAAGCCCTGTATCTGGCTGTAAGTAATATCTGAACAAACCACAAAGAGCCCCAAATGAACAAGCATGATGGGGTTTGGAATAATGAAGCAGTTTAGCTGCCTCAGAGGAAGGCAACAGCAACTGAGAATCCTCAGCATGTGAAGGATAAATCCATGGGAAAGAGCCTGGCGTGAGGGCTCACTCTGCTCCCACCCTGCCCACAAGGCACTGAGCTGCAGCTCGACATGACTGCTCAGGAAGAGATAAGGAGACATCAGTTTAACCAGCACTAGAAGATCAGTGTTATGGGAACCAGCAGCTCAGAGGGGCTGTGACACCTGTCCTGGGAAGGCACACTGCTCCACATGCTGCTGCTCTGTGCTGGCTCCAGATGTGCTTGTCCTTGGGGCTGCCACAGCCCCAGATGACATAAACTGGCTCCAGATGTGCACACTAGCCATCCTGCCCCAGGTGTGCAGCCCTGGGCCCAGCTGTGTGTCTGACACACCCAGAACATGCCAAAATGAAAATTCCCACTGAAACCCTCCCCGTCCTGCTGCGGGACTATACATCACTATAGCCATACAGACACATTTATATACATTACTATAACCACACGTTAGAGTTTCATCACCCAGTGAGGTTTTACTCCCACTGTGCTGCCAGCAGGCTCATGCTCTCACTTCCACTAAAAAGTCCCCATGGATCAGGCAAAACCCAGAGCAGTGGGACTTACTGGCAGAGGAAGGCTCTGCGTTGCCCCAGGGGAGACAAATTCTGTTCCCCAACATTTCCCTCTTCGAGGCAGAGGTGGGAGCTGTGCGGTATTTCCTGTGGTTGCAGCCTGTAATGAGGTTAACACTGTTTTTGAGGTTTAACTCTTTAACCGACATGAGAAAGGAAGCCACAGGCTCTGCAGAGTCAGGGTTTGGGAGCAGCAGGGAGCCAGTGGGATGGAAGGCACTGGAGCATCCCTGGAGCCTTGGACCTCTCAACCCTGGGGGTGCACAGCTTGGAGCATCCTTTGATGAGCTGGGGATCAGCACAAGCAGAGGGGGTGACACTCACTGCTGGTGAAAACAACCTCACTCCTTAAGGACTCTTCATTCCATGCTTCTGGGATTAGCAGGAAAATATCCTTTCCCTGATGGAGCTCAGCCCAGCACACTCTGCTGTTCTCCCATCACCTCGTACACAGCAACACAACCATAAAAATCCATTTGGGATGGATTTAACTCTGCTGGAGCATCTCCCAATTCTGTAAGAACTTTCAGAAGACACCCCTTCCCTCGAGGCTGCTCCTTTAAGGGATGCTGGGTTTTCCCATGGACTGACTCAGACTGGAAACTCTCCATTTTTGGTGCTGTTATCTGGGTCGGCCCCACTGCTCACCTCGCTCACACTCACCGATGCTTCTCGCTGTGCTCGGCAGCTCCGGCCACAGCAGGAGGAGGAGGATCCCAGCACCACATGTCCTGAGGACAGCCAAGGTAAGGACCCTCCACTCTTCCCACCTTCCAGACTCCTGCATTCAAACTCAGAATATCCCAGCTCATTGTCCTCACCTGCTGCTTCTATGTGCTATCCCCTCCTGGCACAGCTGCCGGTGAAGATTCCAACTGGTTTGGGCTTGAACAACAGGACAGCTTTTTCCTTGTTTATTTACTTCCCATTTCTTTAGCACTAACGCACAAGGAGACTTTAACAGAGATGAGATCAAAGCCCCGCATCTGCCAGCAAGGGAAACAATCTTGTTCCTTTGGCTTTGGAGTTTGCAAACGTCTATAAATTGGAATAAAAATAAGAATGTAAGGGATTCCCAGGGGAGGCAGAGCCTACAGTCCCTTGTAAAGCTGGCAGTGGGCAGATTTAGTGTGTTTTCAGCTCTTTTCATAGAACACGAGTTGCATTTTGTCATTTGCTCTGACTTGCACAAGGTTCATCAGCTTTTCTTACTAGGTCAGGTAATAGGGAGGCACTTAAAATTTGACTCACTAGTGATGAGTATTTGAACAGCCCTTAAACCAAACAAGGTCAGCTCGCACAGCAGGAGAAATACTGAAGCATTTGCTGCTGCTGGTGGCCTAGTTTGGGTTGAAAAACAGCATTTTGAAGCTTTTACTGCAGACTCTGCCGTCCCTCCAGGGAAAACTTGCCATTCCTGACGTCAGGTATTGCATGGGGTTATTTGAAAACAAAATGAGGGAGTTGTGGGGCTTTTCTGGATGTTCAGCCCTAGGTAGGGGAATGGGATGTCAGGTCTGGTCAGGGTCTGCTCCCAGGAGGAGTTTTTCATGAAAAAGAGCCATTTGCCCCCAGGGAGCTGTGTTTCCTTATACAAGTCTGTGCCTTGCTTGTTTCAAAGCTGTCCCATCCCCACACCACATGTCCCATAGGGCTGGTGAGGCTGGGCTTCCCGTCTGGAGGGGGTTTGTCCTAGTGGGATGCATCCAAAGAGGCTGGGGAGGAAGGCAAATGGAATAAGGAAAAATTTAGGCAAGACTGTGGGATGCAAAAACAAGAGTGGCTCCTTGGGGAGAGGTGGGAAGCCCTGGCCTGAGGTTTTGGGGCTGTCTCAAAGGGTTCACTGCTAGGAAGAGCCATTGCTCATCTTAGGCAGGACCTGTGGGAAAGATCTTATGGAAATGGAACTTTGTCCCACAAACCCATGTCTGAGCATCCCAAGGTATGGAGACTGTAGGGTGAGCCCTGCTGTGTCACCATTGAAGAGCTTTTTCTTATGTTTAGCTGGAATTTTCTGATTTCCAGTGTGAGCCCATTGTCTTCTGTCCTTCCCCTGGGTGGAGGAGCTCAGCTCCCTCGTCTTTACTTCCTCATCTATACCCAAGGATTTAACCCTCTTTGAGCCCCTCCTCTCCAGCAGCTCTCCCTACCCTTCCACATTTCTTAGGTGCTCCTGACCCTCAGGCACTTTTACAGGACTCACTCCAATCTGTCCATGTCTCTCCTGTCCTGGGGAGAGCCCAGCCCTGATCCCAGCATTCCAGATGTACCTCCACAGTGATGAGCAGAGGGGCACCATCCCCCTGACCCACCAAACCCATCTCTTTCAAGGAAGGCTTTCAGCCTTGACTTCCCTGCTGTAAATCCACGATTCCTGCTCCCATCACCTCCTGGTGCTCCTGCCTGTGCTGGAGCTGGTTTCCAGAAGGATTCCCTCCATCCCTTTTCCTCCCACAGACTATGCCATGTGTGGGCAGCGGCTGCAGCCCAGGCCATGAGAGGGTCCTGCAATGCTTTGGTGCTCCACATCCTGCTCTGCTACCTGTGCCAAGGTAAGTGGCCACCACATGGCTCAGCACGGCCACCACGGCCTCGCTGGCCACCAGAGCATACACCCTGGTCCTACAGGGGATTTAGAGTGGGAATAGGACAGTTGTAGAGCTACAGCTGTGGATTTTTGGGGCGAGCACTTCACTAGCATTGCTGGGGGTTCCACGCCCTGCAGCACCCTCTGCTTTCCACTCACATCCTTGGAGCGGGACTATGTCCAGCCTTGTTGCAGCGGCTGTGCTAAGCAGTGGGATGTGCCTCCACAGGCACAGCCAGAGCACAGCCTTGCCCTTTCTGGGAAGGCCAGATGGAGCTTGATAGCAACTGTGAGCCAGGGCTGCCAGGGCTAGTGCAGAGCTTCATCTGATAGCAGAGGGCAGCACACGCCTCCGCTGCCCTAATCAGGGGATCAGAGCTCTCAAGTCTGTGGGTTATTTCCTTGCACTCATTTAAACATTAGAGCAAAACCTAAAATTGGTGAAACTGGCTGTTTCTGATCTGCTGGGATGAGTCACCAGGTGCCGGGGCATTGCTGCAGGCAAGGGGTTCATCACAGAGTCACAGACAGGTTTGGGTTGGGAGGGACCTTAAAGTTCATCTTGTTCCACCCTCTACCATGGGCAGGGACACCTTCCACTAGCCCAGGTTGCTCCAAGCCTCATCCAACCTGGCCTTGAACACTTCTGGGGATGGGGCAGCCACAGCTTCTCTGGGCAACCTGTGCCAGGGCCTCACCACCCTCACAGTCAAGAATTTCTTCCCAATATCACTCATGACCCCTGTTTTCTTCCTACCCCATGATGTTCAGGGTGGCTGGGGGTGCTGGCATCCTCTTGCTGCAGGGCCCAGCCATGCTGCTGCTGCATCCTAGCAAAGCAGCCACCCCTGCGGAGTGGTGCAGCCCACAGGCATCCCCTCCTGTGGGACACCCACCCGGAGCCACCCTGACCTGACGGGTGTTGGCACAGGTGCTGCAAACATCAAGTGCTCAGGGCGAGTCTGGGTGGACCCCGCGCCAGTAGTGCAGATGGGCTCCAACATCTCCATCAACTGTCTCTCCACCCTCGGCTGCCCCTCAGCCAAGTTCATCATCCTCCTCAACTACAACCACACTGAGGGTCCCCTGCACCCCCTGAGCAGCAGCTCCGTCCAGCTCCGGCTGCGGGATTTCCAGCTGCCCTTTGGGACCATCGTCTGCTTCTCCCGCTGCCCCAACAGCGCTTGGGACCAGCTGGTGTGCGGCACTGAGGTCCGGGCCGGCTGTGAGTACCTTGTACCGAGCTGGGGGGGCTCAGGGGCTTTTGCTGAGCACCGAGGAGCTGGGGGGTGCTGTGCCTGGGTTTGGGGGGTGCCCATACATTCACCCAGTCCTTGCCCCTGCAGACCCTCCAGACCCTCCCAGCAACCTGAGCTGTGCCATTGCCGAGGGCTCGGAGCACCTGGAGTGCAGGTGGGATGCGGGGAGGCCACCCCACCTGCTCACCCACCACACCCTCCACCTGCGCAGGTAAGGCCCCCGGGGACCAGGGGGGCCGCAGATCTGGGAGGGAGCGCGGGACCGGCACGTGGCAGCCACAGAGCCCGGTGACAGCAAGGCTGCTGTCATGCCCTAGTTACACTTCCTACAGCTCACGTTTGCTCATCTCCTGCTCGAAAACCACATGTTCCACCACAGGTTGAGTTCTGCAGGAGGAACCTCCCGCACTCAGTGCTGTTACTGACCTGGCACACACTCCATCGTGCCACGGCACATGGAAGCAACACATTGTTTTCAGGTGCTTGGATTGCCTCTGAGCTAAAGAGAGGGTGAAACTAATGCTACCCAAACCCCAAAACTGAAACTCCAGCTTGAATCTGAAGCAGAGGTGCTGGCTGCTGCATGGTGTGCCACAGGCCACCCTACCCATCCCAGGATGCTCCCTGCCACTGAAGTCCCCATGGCACTAGCCTGGCATGTCACAGCCCATCCTGGGACGCTCCCTGCCACTGAAGTCCCCATTGCACCAGCCTGGGAGGCTTTCAGTTACTCTGACTCAATTATTAAAGACATTAAATTCCATCATACTTGGCTTTGTGAAGAGAAGGGATAAACCTCCTGTCTAAATTTGCTTGGGATCAAACTGAACCATGCAGCCAGAAAGGAAAGTTCCCTTCCTGTCGTGAAAAATGCAGATTCCCAGCAGAAGCGTCAGGAACTGAAGGGAATAACTTTCCAGTTTGCTTTAGGAGTGACAAACTCCAGGTTTGGGGATGACCATGTCCTAGTCATGAGCTGCGACGCCTCAGGAGCATCACCATCCCAGGGGGTGTGTGGTGCTGGGATGGGCATTGACAAGCTGCTTTCTGCTTCCCAGGGTGGTGGCAGAAGATGAGGAGGGTGCTGAGGAGGAGGAAGAAGAAGAGGAGAAGGTGTTCCCTGCTGACTCACCAGTGCCCCTGAGTGTGTTGTGCAACAGGAGCCACTACTCGGTGTGGGTGCAGGCCAGGAATGCACTGGGCGCTGCCCACTCGGCCCCTCAGCTTCTCAACCTGCAGGACGTTGGTATGTCTGCTCACCCATCCATCTGCCCACCTGTCAGTCAGCACCACAGAGTGCTGGGACTGTGCATGGCCACACCCACTGCCCTGCCCTGAGCTGTCACTTTAGGAACCTTCCTGAGGTACACAGTGACATGCACAAGGGCAGCCCTTCACCCCACCCATTCCTGGCTCTCCCCACAGTAATCCCCGCTCTGCCCCTGGTCACTGGTGCTGAGACAACAGAGACATCCCCTCCCACCACCACGATCCACTGGCGCAGTCAGACACAGCTGGAGAACGTGCACTGTGAAGAGCGACACCAAGCCAAGGGCACCCCAGCATGGCATGTGAGACCCCCGGGGCTCCCCAAACCTCACCCCGCGTGCAGCATCAGGCCCTGTTAGGAGAGGTGCAAGTCCTGATCCTGCTGGAGACCCTCTTAACAACGGGAGCATTTGGGGTCATTCAAAACTCACCCCTTTGCTCTGGTGCAAGTCGAGAAGGTTCACCCCAGCCACAGGCAGCCCCCACAGGCAGGAAATCTGGTGCCATCTGAAAGAACAGACAGCCGTGTGTGAAGGGTTATCTCAGCTTTTTAAGCAAGGACAAGACACAAAATCCTCTAGGATGCTCAGTGCAGACCCACAGACACAACTACACTGGGGCAGCTCCACCCAAGTCCCTTTGGAAGCATCCCAGAGTGCTGGTAGGGGCTGAGCTGGATCCCAGTCTCCGCAGGAGCCCCTAAAATCCCGGTGTTGTCAGAAGCCCAGTACAGCAGTGGGATAGGGGTTTTCTCTATGGCCCCTCAGCATGCCCAGTGCATTCACCCAGGGGACAGTGTGGACTCTGCCCATCCCCATCCATGCAGATGAGGCAGGCAGTGACCACCACTGTGTCTGGGGGCTGGTGGTGGGTCCCATTTCCCCCCAGGACCCTGCTTCCCTTGCAGGTGGAGGTGTGGGACAGTGCAGCACAGGATGAGCCCCGCTGGCAGCACAACCTGCAGAGTGACACCCAGTACCTGTTCCAGGTCAGGTGCAGGCTCAGCTCCCCCGACAGCCCCTGGAGTGCCTGGAGCCCCCCCTTTCTCTACACCACCCCCGAGGCAGGTAGGCTCAGCCTCAGAGACACCTCTGTATGTGGCATGTCCAAAGTGCCCAGGGCAGTGGTGGAGTCCCCATCCCTGCAGGGATTTAGAAGCCATGTGGATGTGGCTCTTGGGGACATGGGTTAGTTGTGGCTTTGGCAGTGCTGGGGAATGGTTGGACTTGATGATCTCAGAGGTCTCTTCCAACCCAGTTAATTCTATGATTCTACGATGATCTGGAAGGGCTTTTCCAACCTAAACAATTCCATGATTCCACAATCTTTGGTGGCCTCGTGCCCGGGGTGGAAAAAAATCACACCAGTCATGGTGTCACACCAGCCACAATTATCTGTCACCTCTGTGGCAGCTTCCTCCTTTTTATCCTGGCTGCTAACACCAGGATGAGGTTGGAAAGGGCCGGCTCAGTCATCCCGGCCGGCAGCGGGACGGGATGCCCGAGGAGCGTTGCCCTCACATCCCGGCTGTAGTGAGGAAGCCGGGGATGTGCTCGCCTCAAAAAGCAGCGCCCACTGCTGTTTCCTCTCACAGCGGCAGAGACACGGCCAGGCAGGGCTTCCTGCTAGGGCTGCGTGTGTGGGAGAGCCCCGTAGGTGTGTGGCCCCCGATGTCTCAAGCCCCATCCCACGCTCCCTCTGTCCCGCAGCCCCCGCCGCGGCTCCCGATGTCTGGCGGCGCCTGGGCCCGGCCTTCCCCAACGGCAGCCACGAGGTGACGGTCTTGATCAAGGTAAAGCGGGTTTTGGCAGCCTCTGTGAAATTTTGGTGTGCTCTGCTCCTCCCCGAGCAAAGAAAGGACCGCCCTCCCTAAGGAGCCCTTCGACCAAAGGGATGGGCGGGGAAATGACACCCCAACGTGAAGTAAAAATCTCTCCATCTTTGTAAAATCCACGCGTGTTTCACCCAGCCAAGGGCACATCTGTGCTGCCTGGGGTGTCTCAGTGTCACATCCCCCACCCTTACCCGGGGGACTGTCTGTCTGTCTTGCCGTTCACAGCCGCTGCCTCCCCGGGATGCCCGCGGGAGGATCCTGGGCTATGCCGTGGCTGCCGAGACCCCCGGGGGAATGCTGGTCCTCTGCAACACCTCCAGCACGGAGTGCAGTATCCTGGTACAACCGGGAGCCCACACTCTCCTCGTCACTGCTCACAACTCCAAGGGGTCTTCCAGCCCCGCCATCATCACCCTTGGCCAGGGTGCCAGCAGCCAGGAAGGTAGGATGTCACACAGGCCACTTGCAGGTGTAACAGGGACTGGCTTTTATCAGGGTTGCAGGAGAAAAATGCTGAATTGTGCAAGGGAAAATCTTGGCAGACATTTTCACTCAGCAGCCCACTCTGCTGAGGGAACACAACATCCCCCAGACAATTCCAGCATCCCCCAGAGATGGAGATGCTATACAGGTGGATACATAACCATGGAATCCTAGAATGGTTTGGGTTGGAAGGAACCTTAAAGCCCATCCATTCCCACCCCCTGCCATGGGCAGGGCCACCTATCATTAGAACAGGTTGCTCCAAGCCCTGTCCAACCTGGCCTTGGACACTTCCAGGGATGGGGCAGCCACAACTTCTCTGGGCAACCTGTGCCAGGGCCTCTCCACCCTCACAGCCAACAACTCCTTTTCACTGTCCCATCTTAGCCTGACCTCTGGCACTGGGAAGCCATTCCCCCTTGTGTCCTTGTCCCAAGTCCCTCTCCAGTTCTCTTGGAGCCGCTTTAGGCACTGGAATCTCAGCCCTTCACCACCTAAGGCTGCAGCAAGAAGTTTTAAAATAATTTTGCCCTGCCCACCTTGGCTGGCAGAGAAAAGGGTACAAGGCTGCTCCTTTGCTCCCTGCCCTCCAAAATAGCCCCTGCAGTCTCTGCCAGGGAATCAGCCCCTGCTGTGAGGTGAGTCCTTGCAAACAGAAGAAGAAAAATTCCTTTCTGAGCCATAGGCTGTGGTTTCCCCCACAGTCACGCTTTCCTATTCTGAAAAACATCTCTTTTAATGAGCAATAGAAGGGGAAAGTCCCATTCAAACTGAGAACAAATACATGACTAAAAAGAAACTGAAGAGAATTAAAGTGGAAAAAAGCTCTCTAAGCTCTCAGTTACCTGAATCATGTACATTTCTTGTAAGAAGTGACAAGCAAAGCATTTCAGGAACATGACAAAGCTGACAGAATGTTTTTGTGACACATGTACATAAACACAGGGGAGGGAACAGAGCTGGGGAAGGGTCTGGAGCACCAGGAGTGGCTGAGGGAGCTGGGGAGGCTCAGCCTGGAGGCTCCTGGGGGGACCCTCTGGCTCTCTGCAGCTCCCTCACAGGAGGGTGGAACCAGGTGGGTGTCAGGCTCTGCTCCCAGGGAACAAGGGACTGGACAAGAGGAAATGGCCTCAAGTCGTGCCAGGGGATGCTCAAGTTGGATATTGGGAAAATTCCTTCCTGGAAAGAGTTGCCCAGTCCTGAGACAGCTGCTCAGGCAGTGGTGGAGTCCCCATCCCTGAAGGGATTTAAAAGTGGATGTAACACTTAGGGACATGGGCTAGTGATAGCCTTGGCAGGGCTGGGGAATGGTTGAACTCCATCTTTAAGGTCTTTTCCAATCTAAATGGTTCTTTGAAATATAGAACAATACATATAAATATATATAAAAATCTATCTTCATATATTTTGTGTGTTTATATATATTTCTATATAAACCTCCATATTCTATAATTTCTTGTTCCCTCTTCAGTTTTTAAACACTTCCAGGAAAGACACATTTTGTCTGGGCTTAGCTGACCCTTCCCAGTCTCCTGCTGTCCAAAGATGGGTCTGTTGGGTGACACTTCCCTTGCCATTTCTCTCCACAGAATTTCCAGCACCAGTGGCTGTGGAGGTCAAGCCCGAGAACCAGAGCAGGGTCTTGGTTCACTGGCAGCCCCCCCAGCATAGCAAGAGCCCCCCAGTTTGGTTCATAGTGGAGTGGGTTTCCACCTCCCAGTATCGCCAGGAGGAGCACTATTTTTGGAAGAAAGTCCCATCCCAGGAAACACACACATACATCCAAGGTAAGATATTCCAGAAGTCCTTTTGCTACTTGGTGCAGTTCACCAGGACATTATAAATCCAAAATAGATTACAAAGGTAGTTTCATTTGAAGCTGAGCCCCTGCCCACTTATTTCTGGGCAGTGGGACTAAGAGCCCTTAGGGAACAAGGAGTGAAGCAACAGGAGATGTGAGGACAGTCAGTGGGATTTGGTTCCCTGGGTGAAGGTCACAGGGAAAGAACAAAGTGACAGGTGAGCTGGCAGGCAGGGAACCACTAGAGTGGATCCTGTGGAGGCCTGTGCAAGCACAGGAGATGCTCCATCTACTTCCACCACCCAGCAACGTGCCCTTGAACAAACCTAGAGCCTCCACAGGTGGTTACAAACACATCTTAAAGGCAGATCTTGTTTTTTCCCAGAAGAGGCAGCAGCAGGGTTTCACCTCAACGTGTCGGTGTACGCGGTCTACCCTGGTGGAGTCAGCAAACCCAGCTCTGGCAAAGGTAAGCCTGGGGTTGGACATGCTGCTGCTGCTGCTTCCCACAGCCTGACAGTGGGGTAGGGTTACTTAGTCTTGCAAGATGCAAACCCCTCCCACTGACCCGAGGAAAGCAGGGCTCTAGATGGAATCCTCTCAACTACAGGATGTGAAAATAGAGGTTTTTGTCAATGTATCTGTATTAAAGCCTTCTCTAGGTGGTCTTTGCTCCCGTGCAAAAATCTAATGCATTCAAGAACCACGTCTTACTTTACAAGATACACCAATAGACTTGTTCCCCTTTAGAAAGAAAGAATCTACTGCTTTGCACATTTCACAAGTGTTACAGATAACCCAAAACACAGAAAACAGCTTCTATAGAGACCAGCTGACCAAGCCACAGAGACCTCCTTACCCGGAGCAGGAATGATGGAACACTTGGGGTTGGAAGGGACCTTTTAAGTTCATGTAATCCAATCCATCTGCAACGAGCAGGGACATCTTCAACTCCACCAGCAAGCTTCAGTTCTGGAAATTGTTCTAGGGAAGAGCATGAGCCAACTTGCAGAGGAACATCATCATCTCCAGCATTGTAGCCCAGCTTTGGTTGTCCTCAAGAGCTGGGCAGGTCCCTGGAGACGAGGGAAGAATAACATCAAGTCATTAATTCACACTACAGCTCTGACCTCTGGAGCCTCTCCAGCACAGCCCATGTAGAGACTGAGTGCCCGGACTGAGCTTAAAAAGAGCCCCTGGGCAGGGGTGTGGGTGGAGGTCCCAGGTGAGGCTGGTCAGGGTCATTAAGATCTGTCAATGCTCTTGATGCCCTGACAGATCTGTATGTACCTGCAGGAAACACCTGAGGATGTTGTTCACCGTCCTGGGCTGTGATGCCATTTTAGATGGGTTATCTGAATCTGCTCAGATATTTTCCCTATGACAAACCAGCTCCCTGTTTCTGGTTGACACCTCTCATGGCTTGGAGAAGGGCAGTTATTCAATTTTTTTTCCCAAGAAATGGAAACAAATATTCCTGACCTCAAATGTTCATCTCAGGCTATTCACAGTCATTAGCTTTGTCCTCACAGACACACTGACAACCTTTGGCTCTGGGCAGGACCCCTTTTCTGCAGCAGGAATGTCACCACCTGTCTGTTAAGGAGAAGAGATCCCAAGAGAATTGCTGAATTTGGCATGGAAGTAAGCTTGCTGCTTATTTGAGCAGAAATGCCCTTCTTGCCATGGCAGGCTCATTAGCTGCAGATCTTCCCTCACCACACACCCCATCACACAAAGAAATCATCAGAAAATTCATTCCCATGGGGTTCAGGCACTTTGGGAAATCATAGAGTCCTAGAATGGAAAGGACTTTAAAGATCATCTCGTCCCACCCCCTGCCATGGGCAGGGACACTTTCCGCTATCCCAGGTTGCTCCAATACCCGTCTAACCTGGCCTTAAACACTTCCAGGGATGGGGCAGCCACAGCTTCTCTGGGCAACCTGTTGAATAACCTGTGGGTGCTCATGAGAAAGGATGTACAGTTCCCCAGGCAGAACAAATTCTTGTTTCAGGTGCTGAGGGGAGCAATGTGTGAGGAAGACATTTTGTAGTTGGTGATATGTGTTGATCAACGTCTCATTCAGTTGGATCTCTGAGAAACAGGATATTGTCCATTGTCCAGCAAGAGCTGGAGTTAATAATTACTTCAGGGATTATTACTTCAGCTTATTTTTTCTCATTACTTATTTATTTTTCTAAATAACATTAACAAAATAAACCCCAGACATATCTTCTGTGTGACCCACATTCCTCTAAATGAAATTATGGACATTTTTTTCCCCTTCTCTGTTTCAGTCCCTCCAGAGGAGCCACTCCTGGACAGCACATACAATGAGAATCCCCACGGTAAGAAGACCTTGGGTAGCTCAGACTTATTAAGCCAGGCTTTCTCCTTGGCCAGAAGTGGAAGGTTTAACCCAAGAAGCACCTGCAGCACCTGGAGATGGGGATTTGCGAGTTTGTGTACATTTAGAGAGATTTGAGCCAAAAAAAGGACCCTTCCACCTGGTGGGGACATGACCCACCTGCAAGCCTGGAGTTTTGCTTTCTTATGAGACTTACAATGTACATTACAATTAAGAGGTGAGAAAACAAGGAAGATATAATATCAACATATACCACAACAGCAAGAGACTGTTTCCATCTTGCAGTTTGAACCAGAGACTCATTTAAGCATTTCCCACTCATTTTTCTAACGTTGGTGATTCTCTGGTTTGCACATCTTCTGGTAGAGGTCACATTATGATCTGTTGCAACACTTAAACCAAAAGCAAAACCAACATAAGCTGAAGAATTCACTTCAGCGTTTCTGGAAGGGAAGGTAAGGCCGTGTACAAAATGGTTACTGACTGAATCACTCAACTAAATCCCTAGGCGTGACCTCTTCCCTCTCCATCCTTTTTCAGATGATGACCTCAGAGTTCTCCTGGGACTGAGCATCGGCATGGTCATATTATCAGTTGGTTTTGCAATTCTGATGTTTAAAAAATCAGTCAGAAAAAGGTATTACTTTCTCCTCCACATATTTTTTCCTTATTTCTAACTCATACCTTTTTTAGTATCCATTTTTAGTATGTAAAATAAAATTCTTCTAGGATATTTTAAAATCAACTCCAGAAGCCAGTCTTTTCAATGCAGCCTTTTCACTGAGGGCAGCATCACCCATTCACCAGGTTGTTGTATGAAAAGACATTTGTGTGCTCTACAGTAAGGCAGAGACCAACAAAAAAAATAAAACATAGGATCACAGAATTGGTGAAATCATAGAAAGGGGAAACCCAGCCATATGGGGTGAACCTGCAGCTTCCAAGCCACCCTCAAAGGCTGGATGCACTTTGTGTTCCCTCCTGCCAGGACAGTTTCATGCTGCATGAGGAATAACTGATTGATAAAATGGACTGATATCTTGGGTTTTCTTTTTTTTTTTTTCCTTTTTGCTGAAGGATTAAAGTCACCATTGTGCAGCTTTTGCCAAAATGGCTGTTTGAAGAGTTTCCCCATGTGGAAAATAGCAACGTGGTAAAGTCCCTCCAGGTAAGTGCAGGGTTATCTCCTTTTGCTTCCCCGCAGATTAAAGCTTAGAATCACAGAGTCACAGAATTGTTTAGGTTGGAAAATCCCTCTGAGTCGAGGGATCGAGTCCAACCATTCCCCAGCACTGCCAAAGCTACCACTGACCCATTTCTCCAAGTGCCACATCCACATGATGTTTAAATCCCTCCAGGGATGGGGACTCCACCACTGCCCTTGGCAAGTGTGCCAGGGCTGGACAGCCCATTCCAAGAAGGAATTTTCACTAATATCCAACCTAATACTCCCCTGGCAGAACTTGAGTCTGTTTCTTTTTGTCCTGTCACTTGTCACTTGGGAGAAGGCAATTTGCTCTGTTGCTGTGGAAAACATGGATGAGAAGAGGCTTAAGGTCTAAGGAACTGGAAACTGGTCAGAAATCATTTCCAAAGCATTTGCAAGGTGTATGGCAGCCCAGATTAGCTGAAGTCTTTAAACCTTACCTCAATATAGTCTGTATTTAGTGGTCACAAACGTCTCAAGCTGGAAAGGACCTTAAGGCTCATCCTGTTCTGTCCCCTGTTGTGGGCAGGGACCCTTCCACTGGAGCAGGTTGCTCCAAGCTCTAATGACAGCTCTCCTGTTAATAAAATTTTCCAGTTTGTTACTATACTTCTCATTTTTTTCCAGAACAAGAGTGATTTAATGAGTGACAGTTTCCAGGATCCGCTCCTGGACACCAGTGACCCCACAGTTACAGAGGTCGAGGAGGTGCCGGCGCACGAGGAGCACGAGAGTGTGGCCACCCCAAGGAAACCCAGCATAGAGGTCCCTGAGGATGGGGAGCACCCAGGGGCCGTGGCTCCTGCCAGCACCACAATCCTGGAGCACATCAGTGACTACAAACCCCAGATATCCAACGGGAACACACTGGGATATGTCGCAGCCAACATTTACCAGATGCAGCCCCCCACAGTCCTCTCGGAACCGGAGATGAGCATCTTTGGAGACTACACGAGCCCTGTTCCCCACCTGTGGGATGGGGAGGGAGGGGCACCCCAAGTCTGTCTGCTGGACAAGATCAACCTCATCCTAAACACCAGCCAGAGTGGGCAAAGCCAGGTGTTTGTCCCAGCCATGGGGGGACACATGTCCCTCCCGGAGAACCAGTGGGGACAGAGGCCGCCCAGCCATGACCAAGAGCAAATGCTGGTCCCCAAGGAGCTGCTTTCATGCCTCAGGTCCATGAACAGGGAGTCAGTGGATGTAAAACCCTACTTTCCACAAAGCACTGGAGGGTTATTTTGAAAGGAATTGTAATTGTGGTTAAAACCCCATAAGTGGTGACCAAGGCAGGTATCAGATATTTGAAATCACCACCAGCAGAGCTGGAGCAAAATTCCCAGTCAGAAATTTGCCCTCTTGCTCACTACAAGTTCTTGTGGTTGCCTGGAAAACTTGGGCCAGTAACTCACAATTTTAGACTTACCTCATATTGGTACAAGCAAAAAAACTGTAAAACCTGGATTCCTGTAGGAACTGAAATGCCAAGCAGGCGATTCTTGCAAGATGCAGTGTGTTTTAGTTATTATTTGACATCATTATCTCGTTAAATATTTGGAGCATTTTGTCCTTGGAGATGATTGTGGGTATAATTGATAAAAAAAATCCCTCAGACATCTTGCCAGAGATGTGTAAAATATTTGGGATTACTCCTGATGAAGAGACACCGCACCAAGGAGGATTTATGTGTCATACATGGGTGCCAAGAACTCTTTTCTGTGTGACAGAATAACCCAATTTCATTTTCCTCCCATTCCGTAATGAAAACCCAATCAGGTAAGAACAAGCCTTCATTGCCTGCCAGGCTGATTTAAAATCCCTCTGAATTGGTCCCTGGCCTAATCCTTCACTTTGGGTGAGGGATTTATCACCTCACAGCACTTCCGTCAGTGCCTCAGCTTGCTGTGTGAAACACGGTGTGGCACAGCAAAATGGGATTTTGTTAGGCATGTGACTGGGAATTTGCATCTTCTGACATCCAGAAGGTGAAATGCAGGAGTCTCCTTCCTGCTGAGCAGTCATGAAACCATTTACAGGTTTTCCTGGGACTTCCAAAATGTTCCCAAAGCATATTTCTTTCAATTATTCCTAAGCACTGTATGCATTTCTCTATCAGCTGTTGCACAAATGGATTGATTTTGCTGTTTATCCTGGATACTTCCAAACCAACATCATTGTGGGCTGTGCTTGTCTCCTTCTAACACCCCAAGAGATCTGTTACTGATATTTCTGGAGTAGTAGATACCTGGCTAAGTGGGGTATGATTATTCTTCAGAAGCAGCAAACTGTTTCCAAGGCAGAAATGTGACTGTTTCGTGTAGGTGAGTCTAAAATTAGTGATTGCTGCCTGAGCAGGAAGGAAATTGTAGAAGAACAGCCACATACCATCAGTGTGAGATGGGGAAGGTATTTTTTTCAATGTCCACATCCTGAAACTTGTGCTGAACTCTCTCACCTGAACTACTGAAGCTCACAGGGGAAAATGCTGCTCGTGTCAGGAAATAAGGCTGAAAGCTTGGTCTTACCTTTCAGGCTCTTGCTGATTGAATTTCCAGCCCTAATAACTCACTCCAGGATGGATCCCTGCAAATATATCCACGGCCTGGGGAGCACAGGGATGAAACATTGCCCAGATCATGCCGTGGGTATTTGCCTCAGCAGTGCCAGTGTTCCCACTGATTTCTTGGGTGCTGAAGGAAATATTTCTCCTTTACATGGGTGTGGGGGTGCATCTGGTAAATTTGGGCTAGTTATGGGAGGAAATGGAAAGAGAAGGGTACAATATATTTACATAGTGCTTCACCAGATATATATCGATATGGTGAGGCCCTGGCACAGGATGCCCAGAGAAGCTGTGGCTGCCCCATCCCTGGAAGTGTCCAAGGACAAGCTGGACAGGGCTTGGAGCAACCTGGGATAGTGGAAGGTGTCCCTACCTATGGCAGGGGTGGAACTGGATGATCTTCAAGGTCCTTTCCAACCCAAACCGGTCTGGGATTCTGTGATTCAAAACACTGGGCCAGGTTGTTCCAAGCCCCATGCAACCTGGCTTTGGGCACTTCCAGGGATGGGGCATCCCATGAACCAAATCATGATGTCACTCACAGTAGATTTATTTTAACATCCCTCCCTTCCTCCCTCAAATATTACATACTCCCTAATCCTTGATTTCAGTATTTTCTAACATTTCATTTTACTGTTGGCAGTTGGATCTTGTGCCAGTGATTTCCACCGGTCATTTATCAGCTCAGGAATGAATTTCATGTGTTGTTCAGTGCCATCACAACCTGGGGTTATGTACCTTGGGGGCACTTAAAGGAAGGGTACACTGAGTAATGTCTCTGCCCACAGAGAGGGAGCACCAAAAACACTGATCACTCGTGTAACTCACTGATTGAAAACTCATCTGCCCATGATCCCCTGCGAGTGACATCTGTGTGTCAATATTTAATGATGAGACATCCTTTGTTCTGCATGAGTAACATGGAGCAGTGTACTTACACTTTACTTACACCTACGTGTGGTGTAATAACTACCAGAGCAGAATAGCTCACGACTCACGGAGATGCACCACGACACCGTATCCCATCGCTACCCAGAGTTCTGACACAACCTCCCTAAAAGAGATATTTTTATACAAATGGAAATAGAGAACAGATGACAAAGAAATGAGAAATTGAGTGTTCAAAGCGTCAGTGGGATTGGAGAACAGCAGAGCTGCTCTTACCTTCATCCCTCCATGGAGCAGGGTGTATCTACTGGGTGTATCAAGTGTGGCCTTGAGGCTAGTGAAGTTACCAGCACCACTCCCTGTGGGACTTATTTACCACCCTTCTTCAAAGAGTAGAGTTGGAGATTAATTAAACCAAATGTAGAATGCAGAAATAATAAATAAATTTAACATGTAATAAATTATGCATCAAATGTACATCAATAGCTGCAATGTTATATCATTTATGCCTCTTCTCTGCCCCTGTTACCATGCAGGAGGACGTGGAATTCATTCTGGTTTGAGGTTTGAAGCACATGAGAGCTGGGTTTAGTCACAGCTTAGTCACCAGCTCACTGTGTGACCTTCACCAAGCGCTTTGCCTTCATTTCTTATCTGCAAGAGTCTGGACAGTAACAACCACCACCGGTAAAGCCTCAGGATCTGAGTTCAAAAGCACCTTAAACCCTTTGGTAACAGGAACAGGACAAGAAGATCATAGAAACATCCTCTGAGTAATCTTGTGCTGCTTGATTTTATTCTGTGTTGCATTTACAAACCCACCCAGGGCTGGAAGGTTTGCAAGGGTTTGGTTGTCAGTAAACTGTGGGAGAGATTCAGTGGCAGATAAAGATGCTGCAGAGGCTAAAATTGGATTACAAACTTGAGCATTTCACAGAGCTAAGTAACACCCGTCGACCTCCGGGGATTTCTGAGTGCACACACCTAAGATCAACGCCCAGATTGTGACCAAGGCTCGTGCAAAGCTGCAAAGAAGTGCCTGGATCAGCAAAAGCCTTCTGGAAACGTGGCAAGGGGAAAATGGTCACAGATGGAACGACCTCACAACAAAAGTGGGAATATCCACTAAAAATTATGCTGGTTGCTGTACCTCTCCCACCCTGAGCTCGTGGGGGTTAGTTCTTACGGAGGGAGGATGAGGAGTTGTGCTCAGGGTGGGAGGGCTGAGCACAGCGGCAGAGACTGAAACCAAACTGGCGTTTCGGAGAAGAGGATGTGAGATGTGAGGCTGTGGCTGGGTCTCACCAGGCTCCACTGAATGTCACCTTCTTCACAGGGAAAATCCTGTGAGAATGGCACTTGCAAAGCCACTGGAGCAGGGCTTGGATTCAGGAGCAAAGAAGCCTTGAAAACAGCAAAAAGAAAACAAGCTACAAAGGTGATCTAATACAGGAGATTTCATGATTATTGCTTACCAACCCAACCAAGCCTTTCCTGAACAATTAATCTGGCCACAAGAATATTAGAGAAATCCAGTATTCTTAACCTCAAAAGGATCCAGGTGTTGTTGTATTTTGTGCATCATCTGTATGATTTCCTAGAGCATGTAATTTCCACACTCTCCCTATGGATCAAGCCTTCCTTGGCTTTCATATGTGCAAGAGGAGGCAGAACAATTACATTTACCAAACTAAGTGACTCATTTCATCCTGCTGGGTGAAGGCCAATTCAATGAGAGTCACTGGCACACAGAGATGGAAAACTAACAGAGCCAGAGCAGAGGGGACCTGCAGTATTGAAAACAGACACCCCTGCACTGAGTTATTGCTCATTCTGCTGCTGCAGCTGTAACTTCAGCACTGCTGGGGACTGGGTGCCAGCTCCACTGTCCAGGCTCCAAGGAACCAAATATTCGAGCAGCTCAACGTCATTAACATGAGAAAGAAGTTACAGACATGTTGGAGTGAGTCCAGAGGCAGGACACGGAGATGCTCCAAGGACTGGGGCCCCTCTGCTCTGGAGACAGGCTGGGAGAGCTGGGGGTGTTCACCTGGAGAAGAGAAGGCTCCAGGGACAACTTAGAGCCCCTTCCACTGCCTAAAGGGGGAGCCTAAAGAGAGCTGGAGAGGGACTTTGGACAAGGGCCTGCAGGGACATGACAAGGGAGAATGGCTTCCCACTGTCAGAGGACAGGCTTAGGTGGGTTATTGGGAAGAAGTTCTTCCCTGGGAGGGTGGGGAGGCCCTGGCACAGGTTGCCCAGAGAAGCTGTGGCTGCCCCATCCCTGGGAGTGTCCAAGGCCCTGTTGGATGGGGCTTGGAGCAACCTGGGATAGTGGAAGGTGTCCCTGTCCATGGCAGGGGCTGGAACCAGATGGGCTTTAAGGTCCCTTCTACCCAAGGAAGTCTGTGATTCTGTAATTCTCAACAAGCCCTCTCAGTTCTTGCATTTACAGCTGTCTCTTGGTGTCTGCTCCATTCACCGTACGAGCTCACCCCGTGCAGTCACTACAGACCAGCAGGGCTGGGGCTGGTGAAGCTCAGCCAGCTCAGCTTCCCCTGAGCTCTGTGAGGTGTCACTGCAACCACCAGAGTCCTCTTGCTTTGTCCCCCCGCCATCTGCAGCCTCTGTGTCTCACACACGGCTCCCTCTGCCACTGCCACCACCCAGCACCACCAAACATCACACGTTCTTCTGTCAGGGTGCTTTCCCCAGCTCCGCTTTCAGACCCACAGACACCCCCTCCCCCCAGAGAACTGATTACTCTGTACTTTCCTTGACATCACCCCGTGCCAGGGGAACCAGGGAGGGTGGCACAGCGTCCTCAGGGCATCAGCAGCTCCACTGGCAGCAGGACCTTGGGCTCTGGTTCTCTTTGGCTGTGGGGAGACACCAACTGCAGGGAACTCATGGATTTCTTCATGGTGTGTAAGTACCGTGTGCTCGGCAAAAGTCAGTGAAGAAGGAATTGTAGGAAGAAGCAGAATTTGTTGCAGAAAGGGAAAAGGAAAAAAGGGAAGAAAAAAAAAAAAAGGAAAAGGATAAAGCAAAAAGGAAAATGGAAAAAGGAAAAAATAAGAAAAAAGAAAAATGAAAAAAGAAAAAAGATACAGTCAGCAAACAAAAAAGAATAAAAGAGGAAAGGGACAAAGAAGAGAAAGGAAAAAAGATAAAATATAAAATAAAGGAAAAAGGTAAATTAGAAAAGAAAAATAGAAAAGATTAAGTACAAAAGAAAGGGAAAAAGATAAAATCAGAAAGCAAAAAAAGAAGAAAAAGAAAATAAGAAAAAATAGAAGAAAGAAGAACAAAAGGAAGAAACTGCATTTTATAGAGGGTAATGAACTGAGGATTTTCAGTTTAGGTTGCCTCTCACCATGACACAAAACTCACCTGGGCCATCTGATCAGCATCTTCCCTTAAATATATCCTGGATGAGTGAAACAGCCCTGTTCCACTGCTCCCAGCTGAGCTCAGGGTGTGAACAGTGATGGAGAAATCAACACATGGGACCTCAGCAAGAAACACGGATTAGATTCCATATAACTCCTAATGGTGTCCCTAAAATCAGCTGAATCCTGGTCTGGCCACGTGGAGCTGGAGCTGTGCTGGGAAGGGCTCTGTGAACAGGCAAAGTGTAACATGAACTGAGGAAGACAGAGGACAAAGAAGAGGTAAAAGAAGCTGTTGATATTTGGGGTTTTGTGGGGTTCTGGCTCACCCAGCTCTCTCTTGGCATGTTAATGATATAATGGCAGCTCTGGAAAGGAGCACAAATGTTACTCCAGGCCTTGGGAGGAGGACAAGCAGCTGGAGGCTCAAAGGCAAAATTTGGGACTCTTGGAAGCTGCAAATTTTGTGCTCCCTCTGCCCCTTCATTTCAACAGCCATCCCTGAAATACCTATGCTGTGGTTCAAGGTAGGAAAATGTCATTGTAATCAGTGAGGAAAACTGAGTTGATGTTATTGGTGCCCAGAAAAAGAGAAGGAACAATAGCAATAAAATACTCACTCATTGAAAGTTCTCTTAAACGTGGCAGGTTGTGGGAATGCTGAGAAAAATGAGAGAAAGCAAAAATCCCATCAAAGAGAAGATAAAAATCAGTGTGGGTGAGTCTCTGGACAAGCCCCTCGCTCCTGTCAAGGGAGGTCGGATTTTCTTTTTCTTTTTCTTTTTCTTTTTCTTTTTCTTTTCTTTTCTTTTCTTTTCTTTTCTTTTCTTTTCTTTTCTTTTCTCTTTTCTTTTCTTTTCTCTTTTCTTTTCTTTTCTTTTCTTTTCTTTTCTTTTCTTTTCTTTTCTTTTCTTTTCTTTTCTTTTCTTTTCTTTTCTTTTTTTCTTGCCTTCCCCTTCCTTCCCCTTTCCCCCTCCTGTCCCGTTTCTGGATCCCTGGGCGGGGTGGGTCGGGCCGTTCCGTGCCCTCCTCGCACACGCGGGATCCGCCGCTCCGGGGGTGAGTAACCCCCGCTCGGGGGGCGGGGGGGCTGCGGGACGGGCATCCCCGAGGGTACTAAGGGTGGGGGTCCCCCCGCGTGGATTTTCGCTCCTGAGGAGAGATTCCCCGCTTCGGGCAGCGGTATAGCGGCACCCTGGGAAAGGTGGCATTCCGCGGATGGACGCCCCGGGATGCTGCTGCCTTGGGATACTCCCTGCCCTGGGATGCTGCTGCGCTGGGATGCTCGTTTTCCCGGGGATGCTGTTGCACTGGGGTGCTGCTGCCGCGGGATGTTCCCTGCCCCGGGATTCTGCTGCCCTGGGATATTCCTGCCCCTGGACGCTGTTGCGCCGGGATGGTCGCTTTCCCGGTGATACTCCCTGCCCCGGGATGCTCCTGCCACGGGATGCTACTTCGCCGGGATGTTCACTGCTCTGGGATGCCGCTGTGCTTTGCTCTGTCTCCCGGGGATGCTGCTGCACCGGGATGATTCCCTGCCCCACAATGCTGCTGCCCCCGAATGATCGTTATCTCGGGATGCTGCTGTCCCGGGATGCTCCTACCTGGGGATGCTGCCCAGCTGGGCACATCGCCTGCCCTGGAATGCTCACTATCCCGGGATACCTCCTGCACTCTGCGATAGAGCTGCCTAAGGAGTGCAGAGCCCAAGGTCCATCCTCTAGGAGTAATTCTACCCCTTTCCTTCATCCCAAGAGGTCTGATCAAATCCCCCCGCTCTTGGGAAGCTTTGGGAAGAACCACCAGCCCCAGGTGGGATGTTCCCAAGGCTGTGGGATGACCCGGGTGTCACTGTCTGCACGGGGCCTGGGAAGCCAGGACAGCCCCGAGAAAAAGCTCCCTTTAGAACACAGTCAGATTCAGTAACAGCTGAGGCACAAACAGTGGATTTTTTTCTGGGTGAAATACACCACCACAAAATGCTCCTGTTTCCACTCGTTGTTCCCGGGAGGTCTTAGAACACACAGTGAGCTCTGCACGGAGCTTTTTCAGGGAGAGATGGGGACAAGGGCATAAAAAGGTTGGTTCAAGGCCAACTCCCAGGCTGTTGCGTTTCACAACTGGTTTCACATCAGAGCTCAAGGGCTGTAGTTACAGCCTGTGTCACTATGGCACATCCACAGGGTCACAGTCTGTGAGGCCCTGGTGCTTTCAGCTGAGATTTCGGAGATAAGAGCACAAACAGGCACCACCTCATCCCCCACAGACCTCTCATGTCCTTCCTCCACCTTTACTACAGGACAAGGTCCTTTGTATTTCTGTACTCTGCGTGTAGTGATACCAATTTTTTCATTGCTGTGGAATATGGGGTTTTTTCCTGTTAATTTTTCCCCATATATCTCTATCCTGAGCTGAAGGTTATTTTTAATTCATTTCTCATAATTTACTCTGATCACGGTTCACGTCTCATACTTCCCCAACCAAACCACTGGTTAAATTATTTGAAGCCAGACTGTTTTTTTGCCTGTTGACTCAAATATTTTGGGTAGTTTTGCTGTCAGAAGAAGCTGTCTGAAGGGTGTTTACACAGTCACCAGGCAATTTCAGTTTATTGGAAGGCAAAGCATTTACTTGAAGAACCTTGGGGTGTTGTATTTGCTCATGCTGGCAGTTACTAATCACCTACAGAAGGCACCACATGAAGAGGCTTTGGGAAAGCTGAGGCACTGCAGCAAGGCTGAAAGTTACAGCCTGAGGAACATCTGGATTTAGTTTAAAAACAGTATTTATAAAACCTGGCTTATTGCCACAATATGCATTTTGGCAAATCTTATGTATTTCACATTCAGTTTCAGTATTGGTTCATTTAAAAACCATCTATTTCATTATCTAAAAACAACCCGAAATAACCATTTTTGTTGCTTTTATATTAATATTCCCTTTGTCAAAGACTATACTGTTCTTGGAAATGCCCCTGGCATGAAAATCAGCCAAGATTTAAAGTAGTAGTACTGGGGAAAAAAACTACTTTCAAGTAGTTTGTTTCCAGTATGGTATCAAATTATTACAGGTCAGAAGTTGTAGAAAGTGCTTGTTGGTGTATTCTCTTCTGAAGTATCCAGTGTATTCCCACTGCTCCTATAGTTCTGCAGGGGAAGGATAAAAAAGGGAGTATTTGTTAATGCTTGTTGTAAAAAGTATTTGAAAATACTGAGCTCCATTCAGGTTGAGCTTGAATAATTTGTGTAAAACATTTGTGTCCATTAGAAAGGTCTCCTGAAATGAGCATTTGGGATTTTCTGAGGTTGTAAAGTAATAAAACATGAAGATCTGTAAATTATATCCCCACTCTTTAAGAACTGGTAACAAGAATTCATTTCTCTATAGGGAGCAAAATGGCATTTGCATGGATCGTGCCCTCAGCAGTTTGGTTGGTGATGCACTTCACAGCAGGTAAGATAAATTTTTTTCCTTCAGATAAATGATCACTTTAAAAGAAGCACCCAGGCTAAGTAGGGTGGGTTTTTCCAGGTTCTGTGTGGAGTGCTATTGAACTTCTTCCTTACGGAAGAGCAAAGAGTTGCTAATTAATTATGTGGGGAGGTTATTAAGTTTATTTTGAAGCAGAACTGTTAGTTACATCAGTGAGCTCCGCTGAGAGTGACAGAGCTCATGAACAGGGAGAAGTGGTGCTCCAGCACTTTCACAGAACCATGGAAGGGTTTGGGATGCAAGGGACATTAAACATCATTCAGTTCCACACCCACCGTGGGCAGGGACACCTTCCACTAGCCCAGGTTGCTCCAAGCCCCATCCAACCTGGCCTTGGACACTTCCAGGGATGGGGCAGCCACAGCTGCTCTGGGCAACCTGTGCCAGGGCCTCCCCACCCTCCCAGGGAAGAATTTCTTCCCAATATCCCATCTAAACCTGCTCTCTGGCAGTGGGAAACCATTCTCCCTTATCCTGTTCCTGCAGGCCCTTGTCCCAAGTCCCTCTCCAGCTTTCTTTAGACTCTCCCTTTAGACACTGGAAGGGCTCTAAGTTGTCCCTGGAGCCTTCTCTTCTCCAGGTGAACACCCCCAGCTCTCCCAGACTTTCTCCAGAGCAGAGGGGCTCCAGCCCTTGGAGCATCTCCATGGCTCCTCTGGACTTGCTCCAGCAGCTCCACATCCTTCCTGTGCTGCCTGCCATGACTTTCCTGGCACACAAACACATTCTTAAACGAAACAAGAGTTTTGGTAGATTTTCCCTGGGGTTGTGCTGGTTTGTTGGTGACTGATTATGATCCCGTGGTTGCTGACCCCAGTTAATCAGACTGGGCACAGCAACATTTCACAGGTTACCATGCAGAGGCAGGAATTCTTGGATAAGATGTTTGGGGAAACTTTTCCTTGAGCAAAATATGTTGTGGAAGACAAGGCATGGATTCCTGTGAAACCTTTGTTTTCCGATTCTGTTGCAGAAGCCTGCAGGAAAGGGATCATGACTTCCAGCAAAGCTCCCCATGGCACTGAGGAAATCTGTGACAAAGGGACTATGACGGCCAACACTGCCAGTGCCATCCAGTGTGGGACCAATGTCACCCTGTCCTGCCACCTGGGAGGCTTGCAGACACCTAACTGCGAGATTGGGATTTTCCTTAACAACTCTAAACAAGTTACAAATTCTGGCCGTTCAGTAAGCAAAACATTTCCACTCAATACCTACGGCAAACACACCTTTACGTGCAAAAGGATTTGTAAAGAAAGGAATACAATCATCTGTGGAATCTATATCAAGTGTGGAAGTAAGGAACATCGATTATTAATTATTCCTGGTTTTCAAACCTTTCCTGTGGCACCTCTGAGCCACACGGTAGAGACTGGTAGTGGGTGGCCTTGTCCAGGACAGGTGTTGTCTTAGAGGGGCTCTTTGTATTTAAAATATTCCTGGTTAGAATTGTGCAACTCTGTTATTCCTGAAGGGGGAGATGCTAAATCAAACTGCCTGCTCAGAGCAAATAATATCCTCGCTCCCAAGCGCTTCCTAAAATGTATCGTAGCATCTTTAAGAAAGAAACATTGAAAGCCAGGTTGGACAGAGCTCTGAGCAACCTGGGCTAGGTGAAGATGTCCCTGCCCATGGCAGGGTGTTGGACTGAATGCCCTTTAAAGGTCCAACCCAAACCAGTCCGTGATGCTAAGACTGACAGGAATGTCTGTTTAAGATCCTCCAGATGAGCCAGTAAACGTGTCATGTATCCAGGCTGGGACAGACAGCCACCCCCTCTGCACCTGGAATAAGGGAAGGCTCACATACCTTGACACTACGTACATGATACAGTGAGTAATGTGGGGATGCAGGTTGCTTTAATACCTCTGATTACATCTTGGAGCAGTTCAAATCCCTTTTCTGGTCATGCACCACAGCAGGTTGGCCCCAGTTGGGTTCAGAAGGTAAAGAGGAAATGCCAAGACACCCCTTTGGAATGGGATCCATGTCCACACACTCAGGTCTACAGAAGAGAAATAACCAAACATCTTCCCTCTGTTCCAGGCTCTCAAATGGGACACATGACTTGTGCTTTTCAGAAGAAAGTCTGAATGAGACATTTGGCTCGTTGGCTCTGACAGAGTTGAATTTTGACTCCAATTACACCATTGTGGTTTCTGCCTCCAATAAGCTGGGAAGTGCTTCTTCACAGCCACTCACCTTCATGTTAACAGACATAGGTAAAGCAGGACTTTCCACCTCTCAGTCAGCCCTAGCACTTTGGGAAGATCTGAGACATTCTGAGCACTTTCTATTTTAAACGTTTTGGGAAAATCATCTATCCAGCCTAAACTAATAACCCTATTTTCCATCCAACCCTCAGTCCGAGCTGTGCTGTGTTTCTGAGCAACCTCTGCTTCTTTCTGTTTTGCTGCCAGTGAAGCCACATCCTCCTGACTTTTTAGTGGAATTTGACAATTCTTCTGCGACCAACTGCACTCTTTTTTGGCACAATGAAGCACAAGCACAGCACTACAGGTTGAGATACCGTCCCCTCACCAGGCACTCCTGGAGCACGGTAATTGTCTTTGGGATGAAGGAAGTTATGGACTTGTTGGAGAAGAGAAGGCTCCAGGGAGACCTTAGAGCCTTCCAGTGCCTAAAGGGGGAGCCTAAAGAGAGTTGGAGAGGGACTTTGGACAAGGGCCTGCAGGGACACAACAAGGGGGAATGGTTTCCCATTGCCAGAGGGCAGGTTTAGATGGGATATTGGGCAGAAATCCTTCCCTGGGAGGGTGGGGAGGCCCTGGCACAGGTTGCCCAGAGCAACTGTGGCTGCCCCATCCCTGGGAGTGTCCAAGGCCAGGTTGGATGGGGCTTGGAGCAACCTGGGCTAGTGGAAGGTGTCCCTGCCCGTGGCAGGGGGTGGAACTGGATTTTAAGCTCCCTCTCAACCCAGACCAGTTCATGATTCTGGGATTCTACGAAGTCTTTGCTCTTATTTTAAGAGGCAAAAGAAACCTATTGCTGGAAGTTGAGTCAATCACACAAACAGAGATTTTGCTATTGTCACATAATTAAACGAGGGGTTTTTCAGATGAAGCCCTGCAAGCCTGATGATTCATTGCATCATTCTTTGAGTTATTAAAGCCACCTCAGATCAGGGTTTCCTTGTTGTTTTTTAAAGTTTCACATGGGCATTTGTGATTCAGCTGTCACCGCCTTCAACCTTTGTCTCCTTGTGAGTTTCGTAATACATGTTCTTTATCTCCATTAAAGGTTGAAATCTTCAGCAGTGAACAATACCACCTGCACGGGCTGGAGCCTGACACAGCCTATGAGTTCCAGGTCAGCTGTAAAATTCACCCTGAGCGAGGGTTGTGGAGCGACTGGAGCACGAAACAAACCCGGACTCCAGAAGCAGGTAACACCAACCAACACTAAACCTGCACTAAACCAGTGCCAGCAGTTGCATTCAATGGGTAACTTCAGCTAATGAAGTCAAACTGCTGCTGGGTTGGTTTGTGGAGTCTCTGTGGATCCAGACCCGGAGCCAAGAGAGAAGTAGCTCCTGTAAGAGAGTTGTTTTTTTAATGAACAAAGATGAAGCCGTTCAAGTTTCTTGCAAAACAAGAATTTCAAGAGTTCACTGAGAAGAGCTGAAGGATAAGGGGGTTGGAATAAAATGATTTTTAAGGTCTTTTCCAAGCCAAACCATTCTGTGATTCTCTGATCTGCTACTTGGCTTTGGTTGCTCTTTTTTGTGAATTACTAAAAGCCCTCCAGGTTTGGGCTGTTATTACTCATCCCATTTACCACTGTGACAGCATCAGTTTCTGTAAGAGGCATTGATTGATGCAGGAGGTGTGAACTTTTCTTTCCCTCCCCCACTTTCCTACCAACAGTTTTCTCCACTTCTTGTTGCACCTTGACATTTGTGGTCATCACCCTTCTCCCCAGCCCTGCTGCACAATGAGAATGAGAATGTTTTAGCTGATCAAGGAACACTTCGTGTCACCACATGAGGTGACTGCAAGGGGAGGTTGCAGACTAGAAGCTCTGGTGCAACGTTTGCTCTTTGTTGGAGGAACTGAAGTTTTATGTGTGAACTGACTTGGTGCAAATCCAGAATTACACCTTTTCAACGGGATGCTCCTTTTCCTGTTTCTTTTAGCGTGACCTGCCACAAAACCTGCCTTATGCAAGTCCTGTTCATCAGTGAGTGTATCTTTTTCTTTCCAGCCAATTCATATGGTTCATGAACATTAGGATCCAGACTGGAGGCCAGCAGATGTAATCCCATACCCTACATTTTCTGCTTTGAGCTCACCCCTTCCTCCCTCCCTCACAGCCAGTGAGCTCTGATTTTATTTCTGCTGTTGCTCTTGCTTCTTGTTTCTGTTCCAGTCACTATTTGCAGTTAATACAGGACAAACTGCTCCAAACATCACTGATATGGAGGGGTTTTGTGTCTCTGAATACAGCAAAGAGCAGGCATCCCCATCCTTGCTGGGTTCTCCATCAGCTGCCTCCTGCTCTGCCTGTTAGCAGCAATTAATATTTGAATTTGATGAGTTTATGTTGGTCAGGGACCCTGAGGAACTAAGTTCTGTCACATCAGCTTTCTTGACTTGTGTATCTCTGGTTCTGAATTTTTGGAGCTCATTCACCAGCCAGAACTTTGCTTTTGTGTTATTTTGTGAGGTTTATTCAGAACATCAAGAGTTTCCAGTCAGTCTGTGACTAAGAATTGTGGAAAGAATAGGGGATTTAAAGTACCTCCAACAGGGTCCTACCCAGCAGTTAAAGACAATTGTTGCCTAGAACCAGACAGCAAAATCCTACAGATCCCACAAACCCCATCATCATGTTATTCTAGGATTGATTTAGCCAACCCCAAAGACCTTAATAAGCCCCAAATTTATGCAAAGGTAAGAGATAACACTGTCCCTTTGATGTGTGGGTTTCCTTGGTAGCCTTTCCAATTATCAAGGGCAGGATAAAGTCACCAGCAGAGCAAAACCCCTCCCCGGTTTATGGTTTTTTTCCCCACGATCCCCTTCCTCAACAAGCTGAACTCAACAGCAAACATGGACTATCATATACTGCATCATTTCAGGGACATTTTAAAACTGAAATTTTCATTTTCTCAGGGTTTTTACCCCCTTTGCCTACTCGTTGTCTTGTTTGTTTGCTGCAAATCACAGCCACTCATGCTGCTCACCTTTTCCTTCCACCCCAGAGCCGACCGGGATCCCGGATGTCTGGTACCGGCTCTCAGCGGCACAACTGGGCTCTCAGCAGCAGAACATCTCACTGTTTTGGAAGGTAAGTTATGTGAAATCCAAGCAGAGGCAGCAATAACCAACAAGGTTAGAGGGGAAATTGGTTTATGAGTTTTTGGAAAAGGAGTGAACACTCTGAGAGCACAAGGCCAGGCCAGGGACACGGACCAAGGTTCACCTCCCCTGTGAGGAGATTCAGCAACACTTTTCTGCCTAAAGCTTCTTAGGATCTCAGGATGATTTGGATTGAATGGGATCTTGGAGATCCAACCATCTTATTCCAAACCCCTTGCCATGGACAGGAACAGCTTCCACTATCCCAGGTTGCTCCAAGCTCTGTCCAACCTGGCCTTGGACACTCCCAGGGATGGGGCAGCCACAGCTTCTCTGGGCAACCTGTGCCAGGGCCTCATCACTCTCCCAGGGAAGAATTCCTTCCCAATATCCCACCTAACCCTGCCCTCTGGCAGTGGAAAGCCATTCCCCTTTGTTGTGTCCCTGCAGGCCCTTGTCCAAAGTCCCTCTCCAGCTCTCTTTAGGCTCCTCCCTTAGCACTGGAAGGGAGTCTAAGGTCTCCTTGGAGCCTTCTTTTCTCCAGATGAATAAGGGACAGACAACAACCTTACAGACTTCTCTGATTTGTTTTCTAATTAATATCTCCCTCTCCTCATTCTCCACCTTGTTGTTGTTTTCCATGGTTGCCATTTGTGGTCAGGACAGGAGCTCTGGGGGGGCTGGTGGACACCATGGCTCATGTTCTCCATGTGGACTCACCTTAGGTGTCTGCTGCCTTCAGAGCTATTTCAGCTCTGCTTTACTTACAGGAATCACAGAATCATTTAGGTGGAAAAGCCCTCTCAGACCGTTGAGTCCAACTGTTCTTCCTCCACCACTGCCAAGGCCACCACTGACCCATGTCCCTAAAAGAAGAGCAGAGCAATGAAAAATGGGGGAGGCTGAAAGGGCAATTTTTTACAGCAACCCCTTAAAATGACCAAACTCCCCAAAATATAAGAGCTGGATGTAGTTTGGGCAGTGCAAGGGGTCTCATGAGGCCACTGCTGCGTGGAGGGATGGGATAGGGGATGTTGTTGTGCAGCAGAAAGAGGGGGTTTCTCCACAGGTGTAGAACCACACAAACATGGGTTTCTAATAATAAAGCTGCAGATCTGAAGCTGGACAAAGAGTGAAAAAAAGCTGGTGGTTTGGGTCTAGTGGGCAGAGCCTCTTGTAGTTTGGGGCCAGGATCTCCCAGGGCACATCATCAGACAATTCAGACTAAAACCCCTCTGTTGGGTAAAACCTTCACTGTTGTATCTTCCCCACACACCAACAAACACCAGGCTAAAAGTGAAAGCAGAAATTCTCATGTGATTCTGTGACCCCAGACATTGTGGCTTTAACTTGAAGACCTTTATCTTGCAGCACTTTCTTTATCAGAACTGACTTCCTGCAGCATCATTCATAAAACGTGGCAATGAACTGCCTTTATAGTTTTCACAAAAGCTACAAAGCAAAAGACTGAAAGTACAACATCCTACCACGAAACGTGCTCCTATTTTCAGACAAATACCCAAAAAAGGGCTGCAAATTAAATTTCAGCAGTTCCTCAGAGTGGTTCCAGTGCTGTGTCTGTCCTGAGCCGCTGCCAAAGTACCTGTAATGCTACATTTTCCTATTTTTGAAAGTGCTTTGTTTTGTTCTGACAAAAATCAGCCAAATGAATTCACATCGTAGAAACATCAGGAAACTGTGAAACTGAGAGTACAACTGCAGATACCCAGAGGGGAGAAAAAAACAGGGTGAGGTGTTAATGGGATAGCACAGACTGTCAGAGATGTGTGTTCTAAGTGGTTCGATTTAAATAGGTTTTTATCACGGCTTTAAGTAAAATCCATATTTTTCTCCTAAAAAAAAATTGCTCATTTTAAAAAATCCAGTTGCAGTTAATGCTCTTTTTTTTCCAACCCTTGGGAAAAGACTGGCTTGAATTCAGCCTCAGGACAGGAGAGGGATGAGTGTTTCACTGTCTCCAGCTCTGCTGCTGCTGGGAAAATCAGCAGCTCACAGCAAAAGTGCTTCACTAAACTGGAATTAAATGGGAAAAAGTAATCATGGGATGGTTTGGGTTGAGAGGAAGCTTAAAGATCTCCCAGTCCCACCTCTGCCATCGGCACAGACACCTTCCACTATCCCAGGTTGCTCCAAGCCCCTTCCAAACTGGCCTTGGACACTGCCAGGGATGGGGCAGCCTCCACCACCCTCCCAGGGAAGAATTTCTTCCCAATATCCCATCTAACCCTGCCCTCTGGCAGTGGGAAGACATTCTCCCTTGTCCTGTCCCTCCAGGCTCTTATCCAAAGCCCCTCTCCACTTTTCCCAGCTGACAGCATTTTTTCCAGAAGAAGACAGTAACAAATGCGCTTTCCTCACAGGCTCTGAGCAAGTCAGAGGCAGGAGGAAGAATCCTGGGGTACAAAGTGACCTTTGAAGCCCTGGATGATTTGAACTCCCCCACAGAATCCCACCAAACCACCCACACCAGCTACTCCAGAGTCACACCAAGGGTGGGCTACAAGATCACAGTCACTGCTCAGAACTCTCGGGGCAGTTCCCCCCCTGCATCCATCCTGACCAACCTGGGCATCCAGGGTAAGGCTTCTGCTGGGTCTGGATCACTGGGAGAAGCACCAGTTCTCTGCTTTGTGCCACACACTCTGCATCTGTTCTGGTCACACCACCTTGTGGCCATCAAGGTCCAGCTCAATCGATCTTTGGGCATCTGCAGATCCAGTTTTCCCTGAGGTCTCCCTGGAGCCTTCTCTTCTCCAGGCGAACACCCCCAGCTCTCCCAGCCTGGCTACAGAGCAGAGGGGCTCCAGCACTCAGAGCATCTCCATGGCCTCCTCTGGACTTGCTCCAGCAGCTCCACATCCTTCCTGATGGCTCTGTCGTGGCAATGGGGTGTTGGGATGTGCTGTGACACCACTCTCAGGGCCTGGGGATGGCACAACCAAGCAGTACTGTGGGTGTTCAATCCAATCTGCTAAACCATGAGACAAGAAAAGAATGTGACTGTTCCTATCAGCATAAACCTCACCCTCCCATAATGACCCTTTCTTTCAATTATAGTTTATTTTTATGCTCCACATGGTGCCAGACTGGATGAGACACAATAAAACACATATTTCAAACTTAATGGTTCCACTTAAGGTTACAGCAAGTTTATGCTGACAGTGTCTTTTTGTTTGGTGTTTAAGATCTACCACCTCCTCAGCAAGTCTCTGCCATGGCCATGGGGAACAGCAGCATCCTGGTGAGCTGGAAACCACCCCGCAGGTCTGCTGTGCCCATCAGTGGGTACGTGGTGGAGTGGGCAGAGACAGGGATGAACCCACACCTGGAGCCCCATCACACCTGGGCAAAGCTCCCAGCATCCAACCTGTCCACAGTGATAGCAGGTAAATACACCCCAAGGCTGGATACAACCAAAGTACCACTCTATTTTGGAAACATTTTAATTTTGCCTCCAAGACCAGGTTGGGCAGGGCTTGGAGCAACCTGGTCTAGTGGAAGGTGTCCCTGCCCATGGCAGGGGGTGGAATGAGATGAGCTTTAAGGTCCTTTCCAAACCAAAGAGTCTGTGATTCTATAATTTTTGCTAATTCAGCATAAGAAATTATGGCATTTAAAGCTTTTTGTATAGGAGAGAAAACAACTGGTGGCTGCCCTGGGCTCAGCTCTGTAACCACTCTCAGCTGAGCTTTGTATCTGAAAGTAAAATGTCTCTGAAAAACCAATCTTTCCAACATGAAACAAGCCAGATAGAGGTACCAGAGATCAAAGGCCTAAGAAAATGCTATTTCCTTTCTACTAATTTTGGTTACTAACCCCAAGCAGCACGATGTGTCAGTGCTCTGCACAGTGATAGCCGTGGAGTTACAACAGGGGTGATGGTGAGAACCCTCATTAGTCTCCCCTATCCTCTGTCCTGGTGCTGTGTCTCTCATATCCCTGCTCCAAATGAGCTGGAAAAAGTAGCATATTCCATAGAATCCCAGACTGGTTTGGGTTGGAAGGAACCTTAAAGTCCATCTCATTCTACCCCCAACCATGGGCAGGAACAACTTCCACTAGCCCAGGTTGCTCCAAGCCCTGTCCAACCTAGCCTTGGACACTGCCAGGGATGGGGCAGCCACAGTTTCTCTGGACAACCTGTGCCAGGGCCTCACCACCCTCACAGGAGAGAATTACTCCCTAATCCCCAGTCTAATCCTTCCCTCTGGTAGTGGGAAGCCACTAATTGTCAGTTTAATGCCCGTAAGGCTCTGCCTAGATCACAGAGAAGGTTTCTTTCCCTTCTTTATGAAAGACCTATAAATAATCAGAGGATCCATTTCAGATTTAAGCAGTTGATGCAAACACTTTGGCCCTGAGTGCAAAAACTTCAATAAGTAACTATCCACTTTTAATTCCTTTTTCTAGAGCACATCAAAGATAACATGTGCTACCAGATCCATGTGTTTGCTCTCTACCAGGACAGAGCTGGACAGGCAGCATCAGTCAGGGGATATTCCACAGCACAAGGTAAATCACAGCAGTGCTCTTCCAGACGTTTTCAAGCTCCTTAAGCTCAGCTTTCAAAGCCAGTCCTATGTCTTGCAGCCCCATCAGCTGGGCCCCAGATGCTCTCAACCCCCTGGGCCACCGGAGTCCTGGTGTCATGGGAGGAAATCCCTGTTCCCCAGCAGAGGGGCTGCATCACAGGGTACCACGTGTACCTGCAGAGCAAGGACAGCCGGGGAGACCCCCAGGTCTATGGTGGGTGTCTGGGGGCTGGAAATGCTTCTCCTGTTCCCCTTTAATTACTGAAGTTTTCTAGTGGGATCATTCTAAGTTACTTCGAGTAATGTCCTTCTCCCCCTTTTCCCCGCAGCCATTCCCGAAGGGACGGCCCCGAGGTCCCTGTACATCCCTGACCTGCAGCCAGGGGGGCTCTACGACCTGTGGGTGACGGGGTCCACGGCGGCCGGGGAGGGGCCGCGGGGCAACAGCGACCGGCTCCGCCTGGAAAGTAATGAGACTGTGCCGGGGTGGGGCCAGGAGGGTCCTGGGAATGCTTTTCCTGCTCCTCTTTAATTACCAAAGATCTCCAGGAGATCTCTTGATATTCTTCAAATGCTGAATATTTCTAGTTTCAGCTAATTTTAAGATGCAGCATCTCTTTCTTTGCCTTCAAGCTCCCAGTTCTGTGCCAAGATGTTTTCTCGGAGTTGAAGGGCAGCGGGGTGGTTTATTCACAGAATCACATACCAGTATGGGCTGGGAGGGACCTTAAAGTCCATCCCATCCCACCCCCTGCCACAGACAGGGACACCTTCCACTAGACCAGGTTCCTCCAAGCGCCATCTAACCTGGCCTTGGACACTTCCAGGGATGGGGAAATCCCTCTCCACACTGTGGGAGCAGGGCTGCTCTGGAGGCAGATTTCTCCCATGAACTGGGGGACAAATCCAGGGAGGTGAGTAGGAAAGGAAATTAAAGAAAACAGGGCAACTTAAAAGAAAAAGACTTGCTGGTATAAAATTTTGGATTTGGGACAATTACATTTTAAGCAGACAGTGCAAGGGCAGTAAAGAAAAACCCATGCTGGTATCTTTTGTGAGTGAAAACACCAGTCAGGCCATGACTTGCTGTTGACCAACTTGAACTAGTGTACTTACATTTTTTAATTCTTTTTGATGAAGCTGAAGGAAGGTTGCTCTGTATTTCAGGTGCCAGAGTCTGGGTGACTGTGGTGCTCACCTGCAGCTTCTTCATCTTCTCAGCCTCTGTTTGTTTTGTGCCTCCAGCAAGAAAAGCGTGAGTGGATCCGTTTGTTAAGTTACAATAAAACTGGAATAGCTTTTAGAAGGAATTAAATCCTGGGCTGATTTGGGTTGGAAGGGACCTTAAAGTTCATCCAGTCACACCCCTGCCATGGGTAGGGACACCTTCTACTCGACCAGGTTGCTCCAAGCCCCATCCAACCTGCCCTTGGACACTTCCAGGGATGGGGCAGCCACAGCTTCTCTGGGTAATCTGTGCCAATGCATTGTAATCATCTTCTTCCTAATAAGAAATCTAAATTGATCCTCTTTTAATTTAATACCATTCTCATTTGTCCTATGGCATGGTCATGTCTTCTCAGGACACCTGGGAAACAGCGAGGATTGTTTAGAATGCAGATTTCAGAGCACATGAATTATAATAAAAACACCCACTGAGATTAAAATATGTCCACAGATATTGTGAATTTTTGATGCAGATCTTAAGGTCTGCTTCCACCAAAACCAAACTGAAGGGGTACCAGCCTTGGGAATTAACCCCACCCAGCTGGGGGCAGATCCACGATCACACCGAGCTCCTGGGTTAATCCCACCCCAAGGAGCATATGGGTGCTGCAGTATCCCCATTCATGCCTTTTTAATTGAATTACTCCCCCCTGCAGGTTCCACTCGCTCCTCTCCGTGCTCCTTCCACAGTGCAAGAACGAAGCCATTCCCGACCCCGCTAACGCCACGTGGGCCAAGAGCTTCATGGCTACCAAGGTAAATTAGAGGGGTTTTGCGTTCTAATCCCACAGCCTTCAAAAAAGCCAGCAATTGGAGCCATGCAAACCAGTAATCTCCTCCAGCAGCAAATCCAGCAATCTCTGGCAGTGGATAATCCCCGTGCTCGCGTTAGACCAGAGGATGTGCTGAGCAAATTAAATGCAAGAAGAATGCAGAGATCTTTGTTTTTAGCAGGATGAGCTGCTGTGGGGAGGGACGTCTCAGGATATTCACCACAGAATTAATTCCATGTCCCTTCACAGGCACAGCTGAGCTCACTCTCCATCCTATTCCTGCCCAGCACTATCAGCTTTGAAGAGCCTGAACCAACCCTGGTGGAGGAAGCTTTTGAGCAGCCTGATCCCCTGGCCCCTGGGGAAAAGCTCCTGCTGGGCAGCGCTGGCAGCAGGGGGCACAGGGACTGGACACGGCAGAGCTCAAGTCCGGAGCCAGGGGAGGAGCAGCAGCTCCCTGAGATGTACCAGAGGCTGGTGGTGGAAGCAACAGAGCACCTGCAGCCTGTGCCCGAGTATATCACCAACCCCAGCACCACCGACCTGACCCCGCCCTCAGACACCACCAGGGACCACCCCACAGACCTGCCCGAGTACATCACCAGCCCCGGCCCCACAGACCTGGCCCTGCCCACAGACACTCCCATGGACCACCCAGAGCTTGAGTGCCACCCGCTGTCCATCTTCCCAACCACCTTTTTGGCACCCACCCTCTGCAGTGAAGGGAATCTCACTTTGGACAGAGTGAAACTCAACTGCAGCTCCTTCCCAAGGTAGGTGGGTGGGTGGGTGAGGGGAGCCTGGCCGGGTGTTTTGCACTTTACGAAACATTTCAGTGTGGACAGACAGTCCAGTCACTTGTATGTGACACCTGCAGGTGACACGAACCTCGACTCACAAACCTTGCCAAGTCACACCTCCCTGTTCAACGTGGCATCTGCTCACCCACAGCACTCAGGCGGAACCAAAGGCACAGCTGGGAACGGCAGAGCTGGCTTTGGGAGAGGTTCATTAATTATTCAGGTCGCCTCAAGCCCTGTCCCACTGCCTGGTCATGAATAGCCCAGCCTGGCTGGGTCCACCCCAGGAATCAGAGCCGTGCTCAACATCACTTCAACCTGAAAGAGCAAGGGACTACAAGAGGAAAGGATGAAAGATCAGCATCCAGCCCCAGCAGGACAGGGGCTGCAGCCTTTGCTTCTCCACTGGCCCAAAATCAGAGCTCCCAGTGACACCAGTCCCATGGGGGCACTGAGGGACACGGGTGGGACTTCCTGGCTCAGTTCACAAAAGAATTCCTCCCCGGAAACAAAAGCAGCAGGCAGCACGTGTACTCAGCCAAATGGACTGTCAAGAGGAATTATAATCATTTATTGAAGTATTCTAATTACAGGTTTGAAGTGTGTTACACATTTTATGACTTTGTTTACTAGATGTGTGTGTATATAAATAAAATGTTGGAAATCTGAAATTGGTTTCCTGTTGTTTTCTCTGGTCAAGCTCCAGGGCTATGCTGCAGCTTTACACAGAACAAGGTGTCTTTAAAAATAAAAATAAAGCCAAAACATTGCTGCTAGAGATGAAGTAGTCCAGGCCTGAACTTACCTGGAGCACCCTCCTCTTCCTCCCCAGGCAGAGGTGGCCAATCTCCATCCACTGACAGCTACATGAGCTGCTGAGCAGTGGCAAAACTGCTGATGAAACCCTTCTGTGATACCACAATCCCAGAGCACCTCCATGGACAGCCATTATCCCACCTGACAGGAACAGCAAAGGTCTCCTGGCAGAGCTGTGACAGAGATGCACCTGCACCATGAGGCTGATACCTCAAGGCTGGGGTTTTCCACACTGCCCTGTGTGTGAAGAGACAAGCAAATCCCCAGGGCCGGCTCTGGGGGATTTCTGTCAGCCTGTTCCCTGTTTTCATTCCTGTTGTGGCTGTGTTCCTTCTACAGGAAGCCCCAGTGCTCCCATGTTCAAAGGCACTGCAGGACAGGCTGGTGCCTGTCAATACCCACAAGTTGCCCCTGGAGCTTCTAACAGCCCGAGGTTATTCCCATTACTCAGCTCCATCTGGACTGCAACAGCAGTTTCCTGCTCTCCACACCTCACCTGGCAACCTCCCTGGCAAGAGGGTTCTGGCTGGGCATCATATCACAAATCAGTACCTCAAGTCAGCTGTGTACAACCAAATTAGACACCCAGAAAGGCAATCAGAAGCCAAAAAAGTGTTTGTTGTTTTTTTTAAAGCACTACTTTGTCATCCATCCACTTCTGTGTGTTGATCTTCTACTTCAACATACAAACAGAACACTGGAGTCCATTTTCTCCTCATTCTGCAAGTCTCCAGATAAAACATCCACACAGGGCAGTTTAAATCAAGCTTTAAGTCGAGAATCATTAGTAGGACAACGATCAGACTTTTATAGCTCCAACTTGGAAGTGTTCCAGTAAAGGACCCAAGTCTCCCAATAATGGCAAAGGAACCATTTTCCCCCAGTCAGGTCGCCCTTCCCCAGCCAGTGCCCACCTCACTGGCCCTGCTTGGGACACTCAGCCCTGCTCAAACCCCCAAGCCTGGTCCCTGGGGATGGCAGAGCAGGCCAGGAATACAAAGAGAAGGCAGCATGGTCCTTGGAATGATTTTAGGAAAGCAGGTTGGCACATGCTGAACAGTGGCAGCTTTAGATCCAAGACCTGCCTTTATTAGTCCAGAGGTGTGGCTACACAAACCCATCACTGTGGCCAGAGTTGTTAAAGGTCAGGGTGGTCTCAGCCCCTCCAGCTGCACATCTTCCCACCGATTTCTGACATTCTAGGAGAATCCAAGTCCTTTTCCACTCCTTGCTAATCTCTCCACTGGTTCATCACCCTTGTTCCCTCAAAGCACCCCTGGCATTCCAGCTGCAAGATGAACTTGCACGCTCTTCCATCGTTCCGTTCCAAAGCCAGTTTGCATCACATGTTTCTAACTTTTTCTGCTTCACCCTCTTTTCCAATGGATCAGATTTTAAAAGATCTAGTCCTCTAGATTCGTTGTGACAGCAGAAGCAGCAAGAGGACAGAAAATGTTCCTAACAGTAAGATCCTGTCATAAATAAGCTACTGGGAATTAATGGGAATGCCCAGCTACCACCACAGGTAGGCTGGACCTCTTGAGGCAGAACCTGGATGGGACACTATTAACCTAAGTGGTTTCATTTCTGTGTGTTTTCAGGACATTTTTTTAAAAGAGCATGAAAATAAACCTTTATTTCAGTTAACACCCACCAATATTAAAGATAAATGTTCACACTTTCAGTTCTTGACACAAATGGACTTTAAGAGGCAGATTTACATCTGTCACAACAGCAGAAGGACCATGTGTAAGTACAAGCTGTCTCAAAAATCACACATGAGGTGCTGTTTGGGACTGTTCTGTGCTACGTGGCAGGAGAAGGGAAAGCAGCTGGCTCAATCCAGCTTGCAGGGTCCTAAATCCCTGCTCAGAATCATCTGGGAAAAAGCAGAATGGCAACTGGAATGGCAAATAGTTTGGAAAAGGGGAAGGAAGCCTATACTCCAGAGAAAGTTCTGCTCTAAGTGTTTCTGCATAAGGAATTAGTTGTGTTATCCAAGGTGTTCCCAGCACTGGAACTGCAACACACCCCACCAAACCACAACGGCAGGGGAAGAGGAACAACTCCATGTTGGACCTGCCCCACACAGAGTGCAAGGTCAGGGGAGCTGAACCAAGAGATTTTACCACCCTCCTCCTCACACCCTGGAGCTTTAAATACAGGTGAGTGCACTGAAGAGACCAATGATATCCACAGTGGTTCACAACACAACCGCTTGTAGAAAATCGCTCAGGAAAAGCAAGCCAGCCACTAACATCATACCTGAGGAGGTTGGGATTTCATACCCAAAGGTCTCCAACACTTCTTGCCAGTCCTGTACAGTTTTTAAAAAAATAGCGTGTTACCTTTAGTTTTCTATCTACCTAGTTAAGAAACTACAAATATTTTCTAAGCTGTCCAAAGAGTAAAACTAGAAATAAAGTGGGAAATCTGTTCTTGATCTCCTAACAAATGCTGCAGATAAAAACCTTAAGAAATTCTCTTCATTAGTTATTTGCTCAACTCCTTTTGTGTGTGGTGATGTTCCTACTCACAGGGATGAAATTAAACCTACAGTGAATTTTCAGAGGGGAAGAAGGGGTTTCTTACAATCACTCTCAGAAAAACATTCACGGTGATCTACCCAATGGATCCTGAGCACTGCACAAAGCCAGGGCTAAATTCTGATGGAGAGCTGAAGTGTTGGGGCTTCGTTCTGCATTTTTTGTTGTGTTGTGCCATGTCTCCACCTGAGATGATGAGCCAAAAATCCCTCCTGCCAGAGCCAGCAAAGGGCTGGGGTTCCTTCCTCAGAAGACGTGGGAGCAGTGCTGGGAGTACAGCAGGTGCTGTACCTGTGTGCCAGACTGTGCTGCTCAATCCCCCATCCCACCTGAGTCCATGTGGACTGCCCAGCCACAGCTACTGCCTTCCCCCACCTCCCAGCTCCAACGACAGGAATTACCCCCATCTCAGGCTATCCCAGCTCCCACAACAGGAATTTCCCCAAATCTCAGGGTATCCTCTCAAACAAAAAGCAAAGGTAATTTAAAAACTCTTTTTTTTTTTTTGCCAACAAAGCATCTTGTTCTGTTGAAGGAAGGAGGAGGGAATAAAGGTCAGAAGGGTGAGTGAAGGTGGGATACATTAATTTTAAAAACCTGGTTTTCAGACCAGTTACCCACACATCATTCTGGATCAATACAGGTATTGAACTACAAACCAATGTGCTTTCAATCTTGATTTCAAGTATCTGGTATCAATTTTGTATAAAGGTTTTGTGTAAACAAACTACCCAAAAGAGATGAAAAATTACTGGTTTTCCATGTTTGAAATTAGGCATTAAAACTAAAGTACTCCAGGAGTTCATTCCATATAGCACTAACAGTCTGCCAAATTCGTAATCCACATATTCCAAAAGACCAGGGGCTGAGAAAAATCTGCTAAACAGGAATTAAGGAAATGGAAATAGTGTGCAATACTTAAAACCCAGCCTGGAGTTGGGGAAAAAAGTCTAAAATCCTGAATTTAAAAAATGAACACAAATGAAGGGAAAGCTTTTAACTGGTACACACTGTTCACACCTATATTTCAAGTTTGGAAACGCATATTTTCAAGCAGCAATACAAAAAAGTATCCATGAAGAATGCATAATCTCTGAAAAAATTATGAAAACATCCCTGCTACCATTACATTTCTAAATACAAAACTGACTACCATATTGTTGCTTCTGTGTAGCGAGAGAAGTTCATTTTCAAAACAGATAAAATTCAGTCTTTAGGTGTGAATGGTATGAATGACAGTCTCTTTTTTTTTTTTTTTTTTTTTTAAGTTTCTTAGTTGTTTTAGGATCCTTAAGCATGCAAGCCTCGGAGAGGAGAGCCCGACCAGGGCAGGGTTGGCTTATGACATCCAGTTTAGGACAGAGCTGGGAAAGCCTCTGGGTCATCTACGTCAGGAGCAGAAGCACTTGACTGAAAGAGAAATGTCAGAGTTATTACCTTGGTTTAGAGGTGCACAGCTGAGTGAAGTTTGGGGTTGGACAATGTAGTGCAAAAGCAACTTTTTAAAACTATTCCAAGGACTAGAATGTCTCTTATACTTCTTCTGGAATCAAAAGTATCTGAAGAGGAACTGTAGGCAAGTAGACTGTGCTTGCACATCATTATTACAAACCACACGTTGATAGGAAGAATTTTTGTGCCAACCTAGCCCTAAAAATTCATACATTAGCCAAGAATCTCCTGAGTACACCCCAAAAGGGTTTTTTAAAAGGCTCTGAATCACATGTAAAAACCAGTGCTGCAGTGAAATGCAGAAATTAAGTATTTTAGGATACTCTTCACTTTGTCCATGAGGGATATGGATGAGTAGACAAGGAAGAGTCAATATAGTGGCATTTCCTGTCACAGTATTAATTTATCAAAAAATACATTTAAACAATTCCACGAAGAGTTGTATCAACACCTATGGGCAAGACTAAGATCCTGTCTTGCCTAGCTAAGACTCTGTGGGTCACAAATCACAATTAAAAAGTAACAGCAGGGTTTTAAGCTACAGTCTCAGCATCTTCTGTTGCTCAGCACACAACAGAAAGCCACCCAAAAAAAATGAGGGGTTTTGGTCCTTGCCCACAGGGAACACACGTGCAGAGATCACCAACCTGGTTGGGCGTGTGGATCACGTCAAACTCCTTAACCAACTGGAAGGAAACAAAGGCAACACACAATCAGGTGCAGAAAAGCTTTCAACTACTTAAAGTCAGCATTCTTGAAGAGTATCAGTAAAACAACTCAGAGCAAACCACCACAGTTTAATTCAAGTTCTTTAAAACATTCTTATATTGGTATTAGGAAGGAGTTACCCAACTAGTAAGCCTAAAACTTACAGAAAAAAGGTCTGTGTCTCCTGTAAGAGACAAAAACCAGCAAGTCTGATCTGTGTGAAGTCACAGCACACAGACTGAGCTCATTTTCTAATTAGTAACAATTTGGTTAGATGCCTTTGAGCCAAATAAGTGATCCATATTAAATCAAATTTTCTCTGTAGTTATACTACAGTACTTCAACTTCATATGTTCTTTCCCAAACCCCAGTCAGTACTTTTCCAGGGTATCTCCGTAGTGCTTTAGCACCAGAGAAGGAAAAAAATTACTGAAGGTTAGAAAAAAAAAGAGTGAGTTGTATTTCCCTATGAAAAATCTAAATTCATCAAATTCAAGATATGACATGCAGCTGTAAAACCAGTCTGTCACCCCCAACAGGTCACAGTGCACAGAAAGCATCCTGACTGTGTCTGAAAATAACTACTCCAGCACTTGGGGTTCTGCTCTGGCACAAACTGAAGCAGCTCATGGTACATTCAGATCTGTCCAGCCTGGAAAGTAATTTTTCAGGTTCAAACACAAAGATAGAAGCTTTTTTTAATTCAGCCTACTCCCCATCCTCCTTTTTTTTTTGTGTTTAATGACAACTCCTCTCAAACATTCAATAACTTTGTTTAAAGTAAGCTTGTAAGAAAAGACACTTCAGTTGGTTTAGAAATGTGCTGTTTGCTGTCAGAGCATCTCCCCCAGAAATAAAGAAGACACCTAAAACAACCTGTAGGGAAATCCCAACAAGAGGAAACCAACCCCTGTGTGGGTGAAGCTGCAGCGCTCACCTTGTCAGTCCTGCCTCCACGGCTGGCCCTGCCTCCGCGCCCTCGGCCCCCCCGGCCCCCTCTGCCGCCACGGCCGGGGCGGCCCAGGTCTCCAAAGTTGATCTCCAGCTGGGATGTGATGTCATTCGCGGGCTTGCGGAAGTGATGATCCATTACAGAGTCCTCAGCATGAGCCTGGAACGAGGGTTTCTCCATGAGCGAGAAAGTCACCAAAAATCATCACCTTTTCTGCACCTGTGGCTGCGCTCGTGCCACCACGGCCCGTGCTCACCTCCAATCCCACTGGAAAACTGATCCTCCACTTCCCCAAGTGATCCAAGAAACTTGGAACTTCTCATCAGAAATCAAGTCATACCATTTGTGCAGACCACAAAGGGAAGCAAGCGAGCACTTGAGCAAAGGTGTTTTGCGTTTCCAAGGTATTTCAGGAGTACACAGAATCACTGAGGCTGGAAAAGCCCTCCCAGCCCATTGAGTCCAACCTGTGCCCGATCCCCACCTTGTCACCCAGCCCAGAGCACTGAGTGCCATGTCCAGTCGCTCCTTGGGACACCTCCAGGGAAGGGGACTCCACCACCTCCCCAGGCAGCCCCTTCCAGTGCCTGACCATCCTTTCCAGGAAGGAATTCCTCCTGGAATTCCATCAGAAGAACATGTTTAGGCTTATCTAAGACCAAACTGACTATCGCCATGCTAGTACAGAACTTCATGTTCTAGCAATTCTCATTTTGTATCCTGAAAAATGCTCTGGTTCTGTCAAGTCCTTCCACTCTTTCAATACTTAGTCACCCATCCTTATTTTGCTCCATGAGGATTTACACTTTGTTAGCCCAGTATAAATATTTAAAACCAGGGAGTTGCTGGCAATCACTCATTGCTTTGCATTCACTGTAACAGCAAACAAGGCACAAAGAGCTCAAACACACATAACTAGAGGAGATAAAACACAGTAAGAATGACTCTCACCAATGACACTGGAAAATATGGCTCTCATCACCTTTGCCATGATATTCCCTGACTGGTTTGTTCCCAGTGCATTCAGGGGAAACCTGAGCATCAGGGAACAAGTGACGGTCCCAAGAGTTATACCAAGTGCCATCAATGTGACTATTCAGCATATTTGAGTATTTCAATTGCACAACGAACTCAACCAAGTGCCTTTGAAAAGCAATTATTTTTTCTTATTTTGTATAAAAAAATTTTTCCATGTGCAAGTCAGTTTTTGGCACTTAGGATGATACACAGAATCTAAAACTCCGCCTTATCACAAGGCCCAACCATCATGTTTTGGTACCATGACAACATACAATGTCTTCTTGCCCTCTAAGCCCCCAACTCCTGGCACAGCAATTACCACTTGCTTGGCTTCCCTACACAAGTGCAATGTGCAAGCTCAAGTCTCCTGACTCCAATTTACTTTTCTAGTGTAGTTACACAACACTGTGACTTTCAAAGGCAACTTATTGTGCAATTAAGCTGTGCATGCTTCAACTACCATTTGTGGAGCCTTCACAAGGCTGCCAAGGGATGGAGCAGTCTGAAATCAAAGCTGCTGTCAGGGATCCCACAGGTCAGTCACAAGCACCAGTGTGGACAGAGCCATAACAACTCTTCTCCATCATCACTCTCAAGGTCCCTCTTCCTGTCCAGCTGTACATCTGCCCTCCCAATATCCTACAGTGCACGGCACTGCCATTTCATGGAATCATCACAGAATTGCCTGGATTGGCAGAGATCTTAAAGCTCATCTCATTCCACCCCCTGCCATGGGCAGGGTCACCTTCCACTAGCCCAGGTTGCTCCAAGCCCTGTCCAACCTGGCCTTGGACACTTCCAGGGATGGGGCAGCCACAGCTGCTCTGGGCAACCTGTGCCAGAGCCTCGCCACCCTCCCAGGGAAGGATTTCTCCCCAGTATCCCACCTAACCAGCCCTCTGGCAGTGGGAAGCCATTCCTCCTTGTCCTGTCCCTCCAGGTCCTTGTAAACAGTCTCTCTCCAATTTATTTAGGCACAATGAGAAACACCCTCCATGCTGCTTTATTTCCAACATATTCCACTGGGATGGATTCCACATAACAACTGGTCCCCACTCCACTCCTGATTTTACAGATTTAATTGTACACCCTTCTCTCAGAGATCTCTTTGCCAGCCTTAGGAAGTTCACCTGAACAGTTATTTTCCAGAGAAAAGTCACTCCACACCTCAGCCTAACAAGGCACTACTCAAACCTAAAGTACACCAACACTCTGTAAAACAGTAAAAGTACCATAGTTGTGTTTTTGATTCCTTTCTTACTACTTCATTTTTTATCTACAGCTTTAATCACTGCAGGGTACTGACATTTTATTTTCATCTACTGGTAGCCATGTGACATTCTCTTTTCTGAGCGATAATGTCAAGGATTTCTACAGTAATTCTGTGATTTTCTTCCCTAGGCTGTTTTTGTTAAAAAAAAAAAATCACTACAATTTACCAAAAACCACTCTATTTTCACAACTTTAACCACTGAAACAACAAAAAGCAAATTCCACACATAACCTATTCCTCTATCCAGAGTAACTAAAGCTTATTTAAAACACCAACAAAAGACTTGGCACATTCTCCTCAGCCTCTTAAATCACTTAGGTGACAACAGACATAGACATACTGGACAAATTGCTTATCCTGAATAATCTTTGGAAACATTTAATTTCTGTATAGTGGTAACTCTCAATAGTGCTCTGATCTCATAAGCAGTGCTGCACTTAGGGGCCTTGGGGAAGGCTGTCAAAAATTAAGAACAAATTACCAAGAGGGCCAAAGCAGGCAGTGAAAGATGTAAAAACACCAGCAACAACAAAAATAAAGAGACTCATGATAGAAGCATTTCTGGTAAGGTTTGAAATCGGGTGAACGAGGAGCAAGGGGACTAATCATGAAGGGTGCTGTGCACAGTGAGACAACAGGCATGGACAGAAAAGCTCCATAGTGAATCCACTTGTATTCTCTATTTTGGTGAGTTTTTACTGTGCAAACCTTCCCTTCCGGAGGGGCTCATGCTAACACACAGGTACCCCCAGTTAGATAGAAAGCATCAGTACCTCATTTGAATCCAGCAGACTCCCCTGCATTTCTGTCATCGCCTTTGTCTGATGAAAGTTGCGTGTCCACGCCAAAGTGACAAAAGAACAAAGGGAGAAAACAAAAGGAAGAAATGAGACTCAACTACATACAGAAACAACAGGTAATCAGGTCACATGAACTCGCTGGGTACAGATGTCACTGAGCACACGAAGCAGCAAAGGGATGAGATGAAGCTGTGCAAGCACCCAGAGAGATTTAGAGGATGGATGTGCCACAGGGGTGGAGACAAGAGAAAGCTCAGATGGACACCAGGAAGGTTCACCAGGAGCTGCTGGGAGCCCTGGCACAGACCACACATGCAGGATGGTCTCCAGCACTGTGGGGAGATGGGCAGGGAAGAGTGGGATGTTAAAATCACTGTTAATGGAAAAGCTTCCTGCAGAGCCTCCAGACAAGAGTTGTTCCTCCCAGTTTTGAGAAGATGAACTATTCTTTTCCAAAATGTATTTCTCAGTCTCCCACTGCAACCTCCTCTAAGGTAGTGATCAGATTAGTGAGAAGCTTTGAAGGCACAGGGAAGAGGCACAGCAGGTACACAGAGCAGGAACTGATTAGTGTATCAGTCTTTCCAGGAGTCCTGCATCCAACTTTCAGAATAAATTTTAAAATCTGTCCACAGTGTAACCCCCTCCTGGGTTTGGGTTTTTTTTTGTAGAAATTAAAGACTCAAGCCCTAAACCAGCTGCAGAGAAGTTAAAAAGAGGATCTCTCTTTTATGGTATAACCCAATCTCCTGGAAAGAGGTTCATCAGACTAGGGCTGCCAATGTCCATGGATTTCAGACTAAACCAGCAAGAATCTGAGACAGTACTGAAAATTCATTTTACCCAAAGTATGACTTTCTAGTAATTGCAGAGAAAAAATGAAAAAGAGGAAAGACCTCAGACATGGTCAAGCGTTTCACCCCTCAGTGAGGAGGATTAGGAGGAGAACTCTTTCCCAAGACTAAGGCAGATGAACAGCACTAGATCCTCAGACTCCCTTTTCCCACAGACTCCTAGGGCAATTTTTCAGTAGTTCTCTACTATAGGAATAAGGGAGCTCATCACAATACGTCAATCCAAATTTCTGAGAAAATCTACTGGGACACATGGTGGTTTTCAGCCATAAGAACACAGAAGATTTGGGGCTGAAAACCAGAACTTACCTATAAACCAAATCACTTCCTCACATTCGTCTCTCTTCTTAACAATAAGAATCACAAAAACCTTAGAGCAACCTGAATTTTGTGACTCATAAGTAAGTCCAAGAGGACAAAGAGAGGAAACAGCAGGTGACTGGTATGTTTTCTGAATATTCCACCTTCAACAAAGGAGCTGCAGCAAAGGCTTTCCTAACGACTATATTACAGAGCTATTCTCTTATAATCCAGAGAGAAAATCCCCACACTGTTTCCCCTGAGATCAGGGAACAATGGATAAGTGAGATGGGCAGACACATCTGCTGGACAGACAATAAAGCAGGCTAAAAGCATCTAAATTTAAAGGCAGATTTGTTAATACCTCACTTTCATGCTTACGCAGCAAGAAGCTGTTAAATTCTTACGTGATAGTGCTAAAAATATCCAACTTATTTATCTGAATAGAACAATCTACTAATCATGTCAGTTCTTCCACGGAAGTAAATTGATTATTCTAATTGGTTTGCTTTGGATTTGTCTGTTCTTTGGGTTTTTTTCCTTGGGTTTTTTGTCTTCATTAAGTACTGATTCAGTTTTCGAATGGAAAATACAGTATGGATCTTTGTAGGCTCTAAATCACTCACGAGTACCATCATCCTATACTATCACACATGCTCATGTGTTAAAAAAGACTGTCGTCAGCTGATGAAATGTCAAATAAACCTGAATCAGAAAGATTAAGGGAACTTGAAGGACTACAAGTTTAGTAAATCTCAGTAAAGTACATAAATACTTAGTACACAGGAACATTAAGTGTAACTCAAATTCCCTTTTCTACACATGCGAGAGAAAACAGCATTTAATGAACACTTCATTAAACAGCTTAAGGAAAACAGAGACATGCAATCATTTAAAGAACTGAACTACCTCATACAGCAAGAAAATAGCCTGACTGTGACCAAGTCAAACTCAGAGTGAGTTCAATGAGAACAGAAATGGAGTTTTCATTGGAAAACTGGAAAATACCTCTCCGTCTGTATTATGGCCCAGCTCACAGGATAAAAACTGGCAAGGTGTGAAAAAGCAGGAATATGTATTAGGAGACCAAGCTGAGTATTACATATTATCTAGTTACTTCAAAGGAGCCATAACCATCTGTATACAAAGTTGCAGCCACCAATCTCTTAAGTGAACTACTTAACATATTACAGAGTGTTAAAAGCAAAGATTAAAACCAAAGATTAAGGCAGCCCTGCATTACAAAACAGAACTCTCAGCACTTCCCTCCCTTGTACATCTCTCCTTGACAATCTTGGAAAGAATAATTAACACTTCGCAATGTCTGAAATGAGTATGCTCGAGGAAACTGATTTTAAAACAATTCTATAGCAACTGTGCTGAGTATCACTGATGCACACAAATGTATTTCAACCGGTTTCCCAAAATCTTGTCTATGTATCACAAAACAAGAAGACACCCATGTTAGAAATTGAAGGTACACAGGTGAGGTATTAAGGTCTCTTGAGACATAACCAGTCTTCCCTCAATCTTACACTGTGTTTAGCAAGCATCATTAATTTGTGTATTGCCTAACAGAGATGCTAAATAGCATTAAATTTTCTTTTTTAAACAAGAAAACCTGACAACCTTTCTCTAAAATCCTCACCAAGAGGCAGTTCTTACACAGCTACCTGCCCAGGTGCAGCAGTAATCCAAGCTTATTTCTAGGTTTTACCAGCCTATACACCAGCCTAAGGGTACAGTTCACCTAACACCAACCACAGCCAGAACCGCCACTTGTGCTACTGCAGAACTTCAACTCTGCTAAAACAATGTTGTTCCATTCTACAAAGTTGCAGCTGCAGGTCAGTGTCTCACACAACAGTGCTTCCATTCCAAGAAAAGCCTATCAAGAGCAAAGCCTTTACAAACTGGATGCTACGAGCATGGAAAGTCACTTTACCTCCTCGCTCTTTGACTTGTGAAGAACAAATCCTTTTTTCCATTGTCCGTCAGCCCCCTCGTTTGGTTTACGGATGTTGAACTCAACTTTTGCACGATCCTTGCTCTGAATGGCTTTCCACTCGTCCAGGGTCATTTCCTTAGGGCCTTCTTCCTTAACTTCTTCAACCTCATTCTCTCTGCAGTAAATTCATGGATATTATGTTCATGACCTAGAATTTATACTCTAAATACAATTCCAAAATCATCTGCTAGTTGGTTGGCACCAGATTATAAATTACATTATAAATCCACATTTGTTTTTATACTTATAAATTTAGAAATCCTATATTTATAAGAGTTTTATGTATGTAAACACAAAGTTGCAGCACAGGAAAATTCATCTCCTTTAGCCAGAGTACAAAAAAAAAAAAATTTACACCCAGTCACCTTTGAGCAACTAAATAGTGAGCACAGCAAAATGTCAACAGTAAAACTGACCAGTGCCATCAATTCTCCACATTAATGACAATTTTATTTATAAATGTTCAAGCCTAACTTCTGCAATGGACATGTCTGGAGATTCTTTACCCATTTTCTGAGGCATATCTCTCAAAAATGTTCAAGTTAAGGCAGTGAGAATTTGTTCTTCCAACAGTTTTCAAGCTTTTTAGTTTTTTTAAAAAATAGAATTTAATCGAAATTGGAGAGTTTGCTTCCTTTATTAAACCAAAGACAATTATATAAACAAGTTTTACTTTCAGCTTACTTGAAAAAACAACGGTATACAACTTACTTGTGAGATACATCACCTCTGCCTTCTGCCAAAGAGCTACTTTAAAGTAAAACACACAACCACCACGCCCAGTAACAGACCATGTTCCAGCTACACAAGAGGCCAAACCTCCAGACACTGTTCAATGTGTTTATGCAACTAAATTTCTGATTTACAGAAAACTAGAGCAGCAAACAGACTTTATTTGGTAGCCATTAATTTCCATGTAATAACACAGACGTTTTATGTCGAGATAACTGTATTTTCTCATTGTGTAGGACAGAGTGATTTTTGACATTGTATGTAATCAGAAAAACTTGTTTAGTTCAAGGCAAAGATATTACCTGCACATTTTACTGCAGTAAAACATCCTACAATTGTGATGAAACATTTAGGATAGAGATCCACACCAAACCAGCCAATTTGAAAAGTAACCCATGTAAAAATGCTTTTCTATAAAGACAACTGATGATTACAACAGATGTTTTATGCTTGAAACTGAGAATTTCCTGCAGATCTGAGGAAGAAAAAACCATCCAAAGAGCTGCAGAGTTGTGCAGGTAACACTGCTACTACAAAAGATCCAGGGAATACTGCAGACACTGCAAATTCAATATATCCAGATTTCCAGTACATAGAATTTTTTGAAGGACTAGCTAGCCTGCATGTTCCAACCAATGCTAAAATTTTAAGTCCTTAAAAATGTCCTTAACCTTGGATCACAACACTGGAGAAGTAAGAACACTTAGTCTTTTTTCAGTTAAACTAAATCCATTTCTTACTCTCTAGGCAGTAGCTGCACCCTCTTTGCCAAAGTTATTAGTGAAGAAATCAAGGTACAGCAAACTCCATATCAGAAATCAAAAATCTGTCTTATCCATTTACCATTTTTTTGGAATCCAGTATAAAGCACATTCCTCATTACAATACAGTATTTTATTGTACTGTGCTACCATAAAACTTCCTTATCATATTTTCACACCAACTCAGTAACACTTGCTCTGCTTCTCTGGTTACTCTTTCACTCACCCAGTCACTGGTTCCTTCTGTAACAGTGTCCAAATGAAATGGAAAGAGATCCAGGCAACTCTGAAAACTGCCTGCACACACAGAGGCTGGAGAATTAGAGATACAACCTTTCTCCTACAGCCAGTGACACAAAGCTGTTTTGGAAAACTAAGGCTAAAAAAGTTGCCCTCCACTGGCATTTGTCCCTTCTACTTGTTGGTTCTACCTAGTCCTGAGCACGGGTTCTTTTGAATTTGGAATGAGGAGTTGCAAGCTCAAGACCCAAAGTGTATTAGAAGTTATTATTAATAAATAAATCTGAAAGTGACCCAAGAGCCTGCAGGACCCCAAGGAACAGTTTCAAGACCACAGTTTTCAGACATGCAGTTTTTAACACGACAGTGGTTCAGCAGCATTGTGGATCATCTACTGACAAATCTGAATTTGGCAAAACTGATGTGGGAATAAATGTCAGAGGTTGAAGGCAAAGCACTAGTACCTCTGGAGTAACCAAAGACATGAAGAGAGGTGGTACTCACTTATTTTCAGAATCAGCAGGCGGATGCTCCTCTCCCTCTGGCGTTTCCTCAGTTACAGCTGACTGATCCAATTCACTGCAATTACATAACGGTTGGAGTTTGGGTTTTTTACAAGTTCATCCTTCTTTAAAGCTACATGAGATTAACAATCAAGATCTATAGTGGATTTACTATTTTATTAAGGCTTGGTGCTGCCTATGACTTTCAAATTCTATGCTTTTCACCCAACTAATAGTTTTCCCCAACTCTTCCTTGAAGCTCTCCTGAAAGCCTCCCGCTATCCCTCTGACACAAAATGGATTTGGGTATTAAAAAGCTTTCCATGTAATACCTGAATTTTTGTAACACAAAAAGCATGCTTAACCTAATCTAAAAACTGTTCTAGTTTCTAGTAAAAGAATTGTTCAAAGATCAGCACAAGACCTCTCAATATAAACTTCCCCAAAATTCCAGTTTACAGTGAAGTCACTTCTTATGTTACAAGAAATTGCTTACTTTTTAATTCTGCAGAAGAGCAGTACAACTAACAAAATCAAAGGTAAAAAGGCAGGTAAATCTGTGTGTTCTGTAAGCCCTAATTAGGACTGATTAGCACTCTGCTAACAGTTTAGTGAGCAAAGACAGAGTACTCACGTGAGCTCGTCTTTCACGGTTCCCCAGTTGTGTGAGCCGCTGCCACCACGCTTGTCCTCGTGCTTTAGGCCGCTGAAATGTGAATGTGAAACAGAACTAACAAAACTGAGTTAACATCATAGTGTCCGGACACAGAGATTCAAAGAGCAATTTGCAATTGTGTAAGAATGGTAAAGAAGAGCCAGAAAATATAGAAAAAGTTAAAGACTTACGATCTATCGCTGCCACTGTGTCTGTCAAATTCCCGTTTGCCACGGGAGTCAAACCCATCTCCTCGGCCCATCCCGCGGCCACGGCCACGGCCCCGGCCCAGTCCACCACGTCCACGCATGGGTCGGTCAATGATGGGCCTGGCACGGACAGACAGATGTGAGTGACTCACCCCCAAAAATCTACAGCATAGTTTATACTGTTCTTGTCCTCTTTGCTAATTTTACTTACTTATTTTTCCTTTGTAACTGGGTCAAAGCTCTAGTTTCAAAAAAACACTCCTACTCTCCATCCCTGGAAGTGTTCAAGGCCAGGTTGGGGCTTGGAGCACTCTGGTCTAGTGGAAGGTGTTCCTGCCCATGGCAGGAGGTTGGAACTGGATCCTCTTTAAGGTCCCTTCCAACCCAAACCATTCTGTGATTCTGAGATTTTGGAATCCAGAAACAAATGCTTGGGATTATTGTTTGTTTGCATCCTCTGGCATTAAGTTCCAAAATTTAGTGTCTGTATTCTTTCACATAACTAGCTGATACTACAATTCCAACTAAACTCACTTTTATCCAATTTACTTTTAAATGGATTTTAATTCTGGTTGCTAAAATTTTAATATTTGAACATTACTTGAATTACGGATCCTTCACAATACTCAAGCCACTTTAAACCTCATGTTGCTCTAAGATGACTTCACTACTTCCAGGTCTGAAGCCACTGCAGCCAAGGTGTAAACACCTACGTGGACAAACTTCTGCTGGCTTTGAGTCAGTTGTACAGATTAAAGCCACAGCTGTGACAGCAAACAAATCTCATCCTGCAGGAAACAGCTACACTTGAGCTCCTTTCCTGAGCTATCTGCTATGGATTTACAGAGATATGGTGGGTATCTTGATTTAAACCATATATTTCAGTTACACCTATGAAGCTATTTATATAGCTCACTCCCAGCCTAAAACTTAAGTTTACAAACAAAATCATAGCAATGGAAAGAGAACAGCATGACATCTGCTCTTCTTTGGCATGACAAAAATTTAATCGATTTAATTATGATTCAATCAGCTTTTTTAACTTCACAGCAGAAGGCAGGGCAGCCCTGTCCTGTCAGAGGTAGGAAAGCTCCTTATCCTGCAAGACAAAACTTACTTATCGACAGAGAACTCTCCCCCTTCTCCCTTCTCCTCGGCGGGTTTCTCGAAGCGGCGCTCCCGGGGAGGTCGTCGTTCAGGTCTCCGGTCAATGGGTTTGCCATCCCCCTGCTGCTGCTGCTGCTGCTGCTGATCAGGCCTCCTGCCAATCCTCCTTATCCCTGAAACATCAGGCCACACACATCAACGGAATGTGGAGCTGCTCTGGGACAGATACCGACCCCCAGCACCCTCAAACAAGCTGCTTCTACATAGTCTGAGCAACTCCACCTTCATAAAAAGTCAATGTAGAGCATCTCACTCTTCTTAGTCTCATTTTTGCCCAGGAATTCAATCAAATTGTGTTTGACTGAAAACACTGGTAATCTCTGCTGAAATGACAAAGTCAACTTTCAAACAAGGATCAAGGTAAGCAAGATTTTTTTACTATTTTTCTCTGAAAGGTCCTTTTCAGGTAAAAAAAAAAAAAAGTGGGTTTTATTCTAATGAACAGCAAAGGAAAGTGAGCATTGCCTCACTGGGTCCTAAGTCAACCCTGTGCTCCCTAGGACAGTGACTCTGTGCTGTTCTGAAGGCTGGACTCAAGGATCTTTGAGGTCTTTTCCAACCTAAACCTGGGATTCTGTTCTTGGAAACTCTTTTGGACAGCAGTACACCCAGACAGGTGCCATCTGTATCCCAGTACTGCAGGTACTGAAATGGTGCCCCCACACTCATCCTCCCAGCTCAACACACATTCCCTGACAAAGATTCTCTTCCTTGTGCACTGCTTAAAATAGCTTAAGAATCCTGTGTCATGAAGCTGCCCAGCGTCCTTTCTCCCTCCCTAGGCCTTCTGAAAGGGTTTTTTACTTTAAATAAAAACCTCCCGTGGCCACTCTCTTCTTCACTTAGCCATCTGAAGAGTGGAAAAGAAAACTGTGTTAGATTCAAGTGAAAGGCCTTGTTTACTCTTCTTTAGAAAGATCTGCACAAACATATTGCTGCTTTGTTGTACCATTTTCTTGCCAAAGCATTGGCTCAAGAATTACGAACTAGCTTTTAAATTAAAAGCTGATTTTTGAATTTTTTTAAATAACTAAGTTCCTGCTTAACAAGCAATGTCAAATTTGGGTGGGGCTACAGAAGTTACAGTTGTAATGATATCCAAGCCAACACACCCAGATGAACAATGTCTCCCTCACCTTACAAGCTGTACTTAACATGAAGTTTGCATGACATCCATAGTTTCCTAAGTATTCCTCACTCGCTAAGGAAACAAGGGGTTTATCTCCCCGGCCTGCACTTGGAAAAGGGCTCTCCAAGGAGGACAAGCATTCCGTGTGAGAAGGGGAAGCAGGGAGAGGAGCAGGCCGGTGCCACAGAGGAGGTATGCTGCAGAACTGGAATGGAACAGCCACGGCTTTTGAATTTCCACTTCAACGCCCTGTGCTCAGCAAAACCCAGTTCCAGCTGAAGCCTAACGCAAAATACGAGTTATTTCTCAGTATCACCAAGCTTTGAACTGGTAATTCACCAGTCAAATCACCTGCAGCTTCGTGGAGTAGTGGAATAGTTTTAAATACATTCACAAAGGAAACAAGCCTTGGCACCAAGCACCTTTATAATGCCAGAAGTGCAAAAACAGTCACACACAAAAATAGACATTTTCAAACTGGAAAGTGACTTTGTTTACCACACTGCTCCATGGCCACTGCTACAACAGCAGCCCCGACTTTCTCTGTTTCACTACTATAATAGGCCACGAAAATATTAATTTTTCACACTGCTCTTGAAAACAAGATGTGAAAACGGGGAGATAAACACGGCCTGCCAGCCCTGCCCAAACCCCTCAGTGTCTTCCTGTGGTGCCAAAGGCACTGCCATGATCCAGGTGTACCTCTTGGGGGACACCACCAGAATCTACACCTGACCAACATTTCCAGAGGACACTGGCTTAGCAAATTGTGAGGGGACAAATCCTTGTATCCCTTACACTGAAATCACTCTCAAGTGTTAGGGAATAAGAGATCCATAAGCAAAGACAACTGTAACACAGTTCCTGAATTTGTCTTTTCACAAGGTGTTTTCAAATAACATTTAGAAGACCCATTTTCCAAAACAACTATATTAAAACTATTTCTTTCTCAAAAACCATAAAATACAGTGGAGAATTATTTTGCAATGCAAATGCTAAAGCATTTAAGATGCTTTCACTTAACATCAGGATTTCTGAAATGCTCGTTTAAACTGCAGTTAACATGTTATTCCCTCACCCCCACATCACCTGCTGTCACCACACTTTGCTGTATTTCAAGGATTCCTTATAATCCGAGTCCTGATCCACCTGACGAGCGTTTAAGTTTGGGTGCGGTACAACATGGGCTGGAGACGCCATGTGTCCACATCTGTCCCTCTCCATGTGTGGCCCGTCCTACTAATTGCTCTGTCCACACCATATTCCTTTAACCTATTTGTACTTAGATTTCTTTTTTCCAAAATTTCCCGTGAGGGATATCCTAGGGATTTACACAAACACAGCGGAAAATCCACAGGAGCTATCATTTAAATATATGAAGAAATGCAAACGATTTCTATCAATGCTGTTCCCTAGAAAAACGACCCGAGTAGATTTTGGAAAGCCCAGGGACTGCCAGATATCCCATCAAATCCATCCGGCCACCCAAAACACGATTCAAGTTCAGGATGCCAGGCTGGACGGGATTTGGAGCAACCTGGTCTGGTGAAAGGTGTCCCTGCACATGGCAGGGGGGTGGAACGAGATGAGCTTTCAGGTCCTTTCCAACCCAAACGATTCCGGGATTCCATGTGCTGGTTCAGACTGCATATCGGGAAGAAATTATTCCCTGTGAGGGTGCTGAGGCCCCTCTGGACGGGTTGTCCAGAGAAGCTGTGGCTGCCTCATCCCTGAGGTGTCCAAGGCCAGGCTGGACGCGGCTTTGAAGAACCTGGTCTTGTGGAAAGTGTCCCTGCCCGCGGCACGGTGCTGGAACGGGACGAGCTTTAAGGCCTCTCCCAACCTAAACCACTCCACGATCCTATAACACTGCCAGGATTCCCCACCTCACGCCACCCCTCTCCCTCGGCCGGGCCCGGGCGCCCCCCGCACGCCCGACTCCATTTTGCGCGGGACACGTGTGGCCGGGCGGGCCCGCGGCCGCCGCTCCCGCTCCCTCTGCCCGGGCGGGCCCCACGTGCGGCCCGGCCCTACCCTACCCGGGCCCCCTTTGTGCAGGCCGGGCCGCCCTCCCTCCCTCCCTCCCTTCCCCGCGGCCCCGCTCACCCTCCTTCCGCAGCGGCGCGCCGGGCTGGCCCCCGCCGTCCTCCCGGCGGTCCCCGCCGGCGAAGGGCGGCAGCGGGTTCTTGCGCTCCTTCTGCGACTCCCTGCGCAGCTGCTTGGCCGCGCTGACCGCGCCGCCGCCCGCCTGTCCCCCGCCGCCGCCGGCCCCGCCCGAGAGCCGCTCTGCGCGCCCGCCGCGCCGCGGGCCCCGCCGCCCGCCTGGCTCCCGCCGCCGCCGCCGCCGCTCTCCTTCCTCCGGCTCTCCGCCGCGCGCAGCACCTCGAAAGGGTCGGACTCGTCATCGAAGAGCTGGTCGAAGCGGTTGGTGACGACGCACCCGAAGCCCTCCTGCAGGTGTCCCGGCATGATGGGCCCCCGTCGGCGGGATCCTGCGCGGATGCTACCGGGGCCCCCCGCGCCCTGCTCGCTGCCGCACAAGATGGCGGGCCCTGGGCGGACGCGCTTCTCTTCCGGCGCGGCCGCATCCGGGCTCCCCCCCACCTCCTTTTCGGCGGGGCGGGCGCCGCAGCGCCACCCGCGGCCGCGCCCGGAACTGCGCCCGCTTTGTGTGCGAGCCCGGAGCGGGATTTCCCGCCGCGGGCTGTACCACCGGAGAAGAGAGGGGGGGGAAGTGGGTCGACGGGGTAGGCGGGGGGCGCGGAGCGGGCTCCGCCCGCTCCGCGCCCCCCCCCGCCTACCCCGTCGACCCCCGCGCCTCGCGCGTGGATGGTCCAGCCCGTTTCCCTCACAAATAAACCCGAAATCACACACTAATGTACACAAAAATATTATAATTTATTCATATAGCGGTGTATCGATTGATCAGTGTATCAGCGCGCAATTGTATCGCTGGCGTGATAGTAATAGGGAAACAATATATCAATATGCAATATGCGGTATAACGATATTAATGTAAAGTATTTATATATATACTGTGTATTATCATCGATGCAATAATGTGCTATATATTGTGTATGATAACGTAAGGTGCTATATGATATATATTTATGCTACATGTTAATTACATGTATATTCATATATTAATACTATTATATGTTATATATAATAGTATATAATTATACAATATATATCACATATATACTATTTAATAATACTACTAATATATTATATAGTATATAATCTATAGTATATAATATATATTGTATATTAATATAGTAATATTAATTATTATAATATTAATATAGTAATGTTATTATATTTATATTACTATATTAATACTAATAGATTGATATGATTATATTTGATATATGATTTTATATATAATTATATAGACGATAATATATAATGTATCATAATATATCATATATACATATATGATAATATACTATATATTATTGATACAATAATATACTATATATTGCATATGATAATATATGGTAATATATTATATATATATATGCTGTGTGTTGTATATTAATATATTGATCCTAATAGATTGATATAATTATATTATATATATGATTTTATATACAATTATGTAGATGATAACATATAGTATATGGTATCATATATAATACAATAGGCAATAAATATTTTACATTAATATCGTTATACCGCATATTGCATATAAATATATCAGTGTTTCCTTATTAATATCACACCAGCGATATAATCATGCGCTAATACACCGATCTATCGAGACCCCGCTATATGAATACATTACAATATTTTCCTGTATATTAGTATCCAGTTATAGCCAAAGTAGATCACATCAGGAGATTAAAACATATTAAACAGGCACAGATTTGACATGTTCTTCAAAGCATGACTTCCTATGCTCACAGTTTGTATCTCTAAGTTGCCATTAAATTAAAACTGTAACAGAATTTCACACTTCCATGGACATTTCTACTCATCTACTTAGCTGATCTATGCAATTAGCAGGCATTATCAAGTTAATGTGGTAAATATAAACATATATTGACATATTTATATACTAATATATCTATATATCTATATATTAATATAAAACCACATCATTGTCTATTTTTATATAGTAGTATCTAGTTATAGCCAGAGGGGGGATTATATCAAGACATTAAAACATATTAAACAGGCACAGATTTGACATGTCCATGAAAACACAATTCGAATGCTCACACTTTATATCTGTAATTTGTCAGAATCTTTTACTAGATGTTATAAAATTAACTTTGTGCTCAACAAGGATAATATTTCTAATATTTGCTTATCCTGCTCCAAGAAGCTTGAAATAATTGCTTTAAAAAGTAATTTAATTACATTTGTTCAGTTTTTGAATGCATGTTGCTCATAAATTGAAGACTCCAAAACAAACTGGTTTGGAAAACTCCATACTTTAGTTTTTTCAGGAGAAACTGAAAATTATTTTTGGTTGCATGGATTGTTCTTCATCAGGTTTCCCTGCAATCTCACAGCTCTTTTTTGGGAAGGTCTTTGAGGAAGCCCCTCCTGCGGTGGATCTGAGAGGAATCGGAGCAGCTCACCCCCTTCTTAGGATATTAACAACCACCACAAATTACACCCTAAGAACTCAAAACATTGTTTTCTCAAACCCTTTTTTGCTTTTGTGATGAATCAAATGCCACCAAGCAACACTTAATTAAAACTCTTGGTGTTTACAATGCAGGTATTTCCAGGAAAAGCCTTGATGCCCCATCACACACTCGGAGGCCATGTTGCATCACACACATTCTATGAATAAAATCCAAATGTTTCCCACACGGATCCCTGACGTGCTCCTCGCCAGATGGCACAGGCAGCTTTAAAGGAGGGGATTTGCTCACGGAAATGGACTTCTCGGCTGCTTGTCTCCAAGGCTTGGGATTTGTCACTCCCAGGGAAGACAGAGCTTCTCCCTTTTGTTGCTTTGAAAGGACTGTGCATGTTCAGCTCCCCAGTGCTGCACTCTAAGCTGGTGTATGTTCAGTATTCCAAAATTTTTCAAATGCAGACATGGTATAATAGGTTTAGGTGACACCTTGAATTAAACACATGTGAAACACAGACAGATAGTGACAGGACAAGGGGGAATGGCTTCCCACTGACAAAGGGCAGGGTTAGATGGAATATGGGAAGAAATTCTTCCCTGGGAGGGTGGTGAGTCCCTGACACAGGTTGCCTAGAGAAGCTGGGGCTGCCCCTGGATCCCTGGAAGTGTCCAAGGCCAGGTTGGAGCAACCTGGGATAGTGGAAGGTGTCCCTGCCCATGGCAGGGGGTGGAATGAGATGAACTTTAAGGTCCCTCCCAAGCCAAAGCACTCTGTGGTTCTATGGTGAAAACAAATATTTTAATATAAACAGGGCAATCAATCATCAAGTGAATACAATCACCAGAGCTGTGCATTCCCTTTGGCAGGAAGCTGGAACTGGAGCCTGCAGGAAGCTTCAGCTCCTCTCCGGACTGTCACACTCCATTCCTGCATGTTGGTGTTTGCATTAAAGAGCCCCACAATCAGCCACACAGGTCAAAAGGCCAAATGACAGTGTTGTCCACTGAATATCATTAACAGTTTTCAGGGACTTCTGGCCATAAGACAACATTTCCATTCCTAACATTAAAAAGGAGGTATTAAAATATTTAAATCAACTTCCTTGCAGGGATTGCAGCCCCCACTGGATCAGGACGTAGATCATACTGCAGTTTGTCAAGGGAAGGATGGATGGCAAGGTCTGGGGCTTTGGTGCTCTTCAAATGTTGGCAAACTTTCCTACCAGAGAATCATTCATGCATGCTCATCAATACCTAATCAGTCCTGAAGATCTGAACCACAGACAACAACTGCTTGTGAATTAAATAGCCAAGGACTATTAACTCAGCACTTCTGCTCCTAATAAGAGACATACTTTTTTATTACATCTTCCAAATCCCCAAAACCCCACATATGGGTCTCAGGGCAGCCATCTCATTAGTGCTGCTACTGATTGCACTCATTAGGCACCAGCAGACAGCGAGGGAGTAATTAAAAAATCCACATAATTCTTCCAGGAGCTGCCACCAAAAGCTGGGCTGGCTGCTGCCGTCCTCCTGCAAGACAGACACTTGTGTTCTCCTTTCCCACTGGAGTAAAACCAGCATTTCCACGGGCCAAAGGAGCAGCTTGCTGTGCTATTTGTGGCTGGGACACGCAGAGATCCTTGGCCAAAGCTGGCCTATAGATAACCTGCCTCAGGAGCTGCTCCCAGGCTGCTGCCCAAAAGAGGCCCGGAGAGCTTTTGGACACGCTACACTCCTGCTATTCCCAAGCTTTGCCAGCAGCTGTCAGCTGCCTGCTTAATAAGCAGGAATAGGAAATACAGCAAGTTCGGGCCACGGGGAAAAGCGTTCATCTGGGTCCTCGCTCTGTTCCCAAAACACGATTTTCCTAATTTTTAACTCCATAAATTTTTTTTTTTGCAGGTTTCCTCCAGATGCATGTGGTACTTTGCTGTCAGAATGGACGGTATATGGACAAGGAGGGTTTTTTTTGGGATGGATTTTTTCCTAGGTTGGACTCAATGTCTTATCCAATCTTAACGATTCTATGATTCTAGGCCATAGGAAATACAGGTATTTCTTGCACAGAAAATATTTGCTTCCAACTAAAGGCAAGTATGGCCTTGACTTCTGAGTAAAAAAAAATTCAGGTGCATCACAAAGAAATTTAGCAACTTCTTGTCCAGTTTGCATCCAGACATGGATCCCTTATGAGAAGAACTCCCAAAATTAACCACTACACAGGGAGACAGCACAAATGAGCAGGAGCAGTCAGAGATGACAAGGAGACACACGATTTGCACTGCACAGCTTTATCCTCCCACATATCCTGCTCATTTCAGCACAGCACTACTTTTTTTTTCTTTTTTTTTAATTTGCCAGAAAACCCAGCAGTTTCATTATGAGGAGGGCAGTAAACATGTGAATAACAACTGTATTTCTACAGTAAGTACGTGCAGTAGAAGTAACCACCCCCAGTATTGCTTTGTGCTTTTAAATGTGCACAGACAAGTGAAGCAAATCATGCAGACACAAAACTTGGCATGTAAATTAAAGCAGACTAATTGAGCTCTGCCTGAACTTTCTTCCCCTGAATCCTAAACAACCTGCTGAGCAAGTGTTCTTCCTTACAGGAGTCTAAGTAAGAGGTATTTTTAGTTTGGAAAACCGGCACTGCAGCAGTACAAAGCAGAAGGTCAGGTACACCAGCCATGGGGTAAGGAATCATACAATCACAAAATGGTTTGGGTTAGAAGGGACCCAAAACTCATTTTGTTTCAACTGTTTGCCATGTCCAGCGACACCTTCCACTAGACCAGGTTGCTCCAACATGGCCTTGAACACTTCCAGGGATGAGTACACAGTAGCCTCCTTGGCTGCAGCAATCAAACAGGGCCCCTGGGAACAGCCCTGAAGGACAGAAGCCTTGCTGCCTTCCTAATCGGAAAAGATGGAGAAGAGGAGAAAAAAATGTTTTCCC